ATTTTTGTCCCATCTCCACTGTCCACTGTGGCCGAAGCAGCTATTAGTCTGTCATCTGGACAACTGCAACCGCTTCCTTAATGGTGTCTCTATTTTAACTCTTGCTACCCTCGAATTTATTCTCCACCCAACAGCTAGATGGGTCTTTTCAAAAACAGAAATAGATCATGCCACAACTTCTACTTATAAACCTTCAAGAGAGTTCGGATACAGTTCTGCACCTGAAATAAAGTCTGTATCTAGAATCAAACGCAGGCTCTTTCAGAATTCTTCATGATTCAGTCAGCCTTCCTCTCCCACCTCACCCCATCTGTTGCTCACGCACTTGGTCTGCTAAGTGTTCTGCCTTGTTGGGAAGGACTCAACCGATGGGGCGTGAGGGGTGAGAGGGATTTTGAGCAATAAAATAATTATCCTAAGATTTTGAGCTCGAGGGAATGACGTAGCAATGGAGAAATTTGAAAGGAGTACCAACCACATCTAAGAGGAGTCATTATCTTTTTGAACTTTTAACATTTTAAACAAGTAGAATCAGTATATGTGTAAAATGTATAAAAAGAATTACATATTGTGACCAAGATGGGTCTATTTCAGGTATGCAGGGCTGGCTCAACACTTGAAAACCAATGAATGTAATCAATCATATCAACAAGCTGAAGAAAACACAAGTGGAATAGTTAAAAAATAAGGGATTGGTGAGAACATAAGAGATGTTGGAGATCCCCAATCACTACAGAGTGATACAACAAAATAAGCTGAGAGCAGCTTTATGAAAATCAGTAGTTTTATAATACGCATATCATAAAATCCAAATCACTTATCAGCCATTGGAGGCTTTCCATTATCTAGTCTCACCCACCCTGTCTAGGTTTTGTTTTTACTATTTTCCATTGTGAACCCCTTATTGCAGCCAGATTACCGTATTTGCTGGCGTATAAGACGACTCGGCGTATAAGACGACCCCCTAACATTTCCCTAACTCAAAATACAGAGTTTGTTATATGGTCGGCTGTGTGCGATTTTGCGAGTGTGGTAAAATCGCATAACAGCAAAATCGCGTAACAGCCGAGCATACACCCAAGCAGCGCTGCTGATGCCTGAACGGTATGTGGAATGAAGTGGGCGGGCATCGGGAGGCCACTATGGCACGGGGCAAGCACTATGGGCAGTCTATCTGAAGTGTACCTGGCGTATAAGACGACCCCCCACTTGGAGGCATATTTTTCAGGGCCAAAAAATCGTCTTATACGCCGGCAAATACGGTAGTTTCCTTCATGCCCTTTTACTGTATTGAACTCATTTCAGAATGAGACTATCCGAGTACCAATTTTGGCCTTGCCATCCTGCCATTAACTAGCTTTTACTGTGACTTTGAGCAAGTTGCTTCAGTTTTCTTATCTGTGAAATGAGGATTATAGCCATAATTTCCTATTCCTAGCATGTATAATTAAATGCAAATAAACATGAACTACTGATTATAACCTATTTTATCATGTATATGATAGCTCCAAAGTGATGCTGAACTGGTTTATAACTGCAGTGAAGAAGAGAAGAGGGAAGGGAGAGTTTTAAGAACGTGTGTGATTAGTTTGAAGTTAAAAAGAAATGAATAACACTTCAATAAAAAGTTTACTTGAAAAAATAAACACTGAGACTATCCAAAACATACAAAGAACTCTGAAAACTCAACAGTGAGACACTTAATGACCCAGCTGAAAAATGGGCAGAAGTTCTGAATACACGATTCACCAAGGAAAACATACAAAAGATAAAAAGCATGTGAAAAGATACTCAACATCATATGTCGTTAGGGAATTGCAAATTAAAACAGCAATTAGATACCACTACATACCTATTAGAATGGCTAAAATCCAAAATACCTACGGCACAAAATGCTGGTAAGGATATGGGGCAATAGGGAACTCACATTTGTTGCTGGTGGGAATGCAAAATGATACAGCCATTTTAGAAGATAGTTTGGCAGTTTCTTACAAAGCTAAATAAACATAAGTTTACCATATGACCCAGCAATCACACTCCTAGACATTTACCCAAATGAGCTGAAAATGCATGTCCACACAGAAACCTGCACACACATGATTATAGAGCTTTATTCATAATTGCCCCAAATTGGAAGCAACCAATGCATCCTTTAATAGGATAAACAAATTGTGCTACATCCATATGATGGAATATTATTTAGCACTAATAAGAAATGAGCTATCAAGCCACCAAAAGACATGGAGGAACCTTAAATGTATGCTAGATGAAAGAAGCCAGTCTGAAAAAAGCCACATACTGTATGATCCAACTGTATGACATTCTGGAAAAGGCAAGGAAAAAGTGATTGCCAGGGGTTCAGGAAGAGGGGGTAGCGCAGGGCATTTCTAGGACAATGAAACTTGTATGCTATTGTATTGCATGTCATCTATTTGTTAAAACTTATAGCTGTGTACACACTGAACTCTATTAAACTATAGACTTAATGATAATCAGTATTGGTCATAATTTGTAACAAATGTATCCCACTAGTACATGATGGTAATAGGAGAAAGTGGAGGGGGAAGAAGGTATATGGAAACTACTTTCTGGACAATTTTTCTGTAAAGTTAAAAATGCTTTGAAAAGTAAAGTATTAATTTAAAAATGGTAGAGGCTTAAAAGGGGAGTCCCATGGAAGCCTGCTTATAATGCAGTCCTGGTACCTTTTTGAAATATAGACACTCAACTCTATAATTGTTATTTGTTGTACTAAAGAATCAAAGTAAAAACCACCACCACCAATTAAAAATACCAAGAAAAGTAACTTTTTAAATGCCAGGTTTTGTGAGGAAATTCATGGGTAACCTGAATATTAGTGGAGTGCCACAGTCTCGGGAGGGAACTCCTGAGCCCTTTATAACACTTTGATGAGATGATAAAATAATTCTCCCTTACATGGTTACATCAATTTTGGTCCTCAGAATTTGGAGGCAGTGCGTTCCGGCCAGTGCCAGCCTGATGGGTAGGTGCCTCTTGCATGCTTCCGCCCCTGAACTTGTTCTTTCCTTTCTATCACGACAGACCTAATGTTCCAGGCTATGAAACTCTTGTTTCCTTCAGGGTGTGTTCAAGTGAATTTAAAAATAAATTCTGGGTCAAATAATAAATGTAGAAAGCACTGCCATGTGGGGAAGCATTGGCGAATCTTTTCGAAGACCGAAGAATCCTTTGGCTTAAATATGTAATCCTTCCCCCACCCCAGCTTATGTTATAGTAGATTTATATTTCAACTTAGCTAATGAAAGTCAAGCTGTTCTTCACGCACGTATGTGAAGGAGACTTAGCTGCATTAAAGATTTACTTGTAAGAAAAATTAGCTTTAGATGGTTCAGAATGCTGTGCTGGTTTATTATAACATCTCTGTCTTCTGCCTGAATTTTATTTGTGTTTCTCTGATCTTACATTTTAAAACTGCACTTTAGCAAAGGTCTTATTTTTTAATGCTCTTTCACAGTTTATTAGATTTGGTTTGTGTAAAAAACTTAGGCAAATATACTTCTACTATTTTGAAATCTACATTAGTCAGCACACTCACCTGAACTTGACATTGTTCTGGGTGATTTCAAATAAGGTCCTTTTGTATTTATTTGCCTGACTAACAAAGGCCTAGTTTAGTAGCAACTGAGCCAGTAGCCAGATTAATGGCTAGAGAAAACCTTTGAAAATAAGGGACAAATAAATATATGTAAAAGGGTATCTTCTGTGGTGTGTAGGTAATAATCTAGCATTTGATTAATTTAGCTCACTTAACAAATTTAGATGGCTAGAATCAACTAGCCATCTACAATGTACTGAACATTAAGTTTACAAAGATAAGACGTTGTCTTAGTATCCTGATTTTCTCCATTTTATTTTTTATTCCGTTCTATTTACTTACTTAGGTGGAATCATTGATGGCCAGAGTGGTTGTGATTTGTCCCAGATCCCAGTGTTAGCATTTCTAGTCGAGTATCAGTTACTGCCTGTTTTACATGACCTTGTGGTGAAACTACCACCCGTGTAGCTTTCTTGAACATCGCATACTTAATCATTCAATTTGTGACTGGTTTTCCAGGTTAATGACATAGGATAGGAAATAAACAGTTTTATTATTAAACTTATTACTATAGAAATGTTTATTTTGGTAATTGACTCTGATAAAAATACACACATGCCAGAAAAATGTATTTGTAATCCTGAAGACATTCTTGGATTAATAAGTAGAGTATTTTTACATTATGCTCAGTCAATATATACTTAGTGTTTATTATTTAGTTGTTTTTACTTACTGGCTGCTATTGGAAAGTTTAAAATATTTTGGAGTAAATATGTAAATCTTAGAAATTTTGTGAAAATAATATATGTGCAGAGAAAGTTTAAATTCATTTCAGAAATTTATGACGGTTTCTTTCACACATAAGGATTATTTTTAAGTTTGATATTTATAAATCAGGTGCAGCTTGTATTTCTACAGCATGGAATGCCTCTGATTTCATGTTTTAGAGCACTTGGCTTGCATGTGAGACCTGTACTATTAAAATATTGAATGGTTTAAAGGTTTACTCTTTTATAAACACACATGCACTAGTCTGACATTACCTAACTGATAAACATTTTTTTCCTTTGACTTCCCGAAAATTAATGATGTTTAACACCAGAAATCTAGTTTTATTTTTTATGGCTTTGGTTAAGGGAGATTAAAAAACACTTAAAACACACCGTGTTATTGTCTAGTTTGAAATGATTCGATATGGAGGGTTATCAAGACACTGTCAAATAATTATTCAAGAGATTTATTTGCATATACAGTTTGTATATGTGCATGTGATTTTATTTAAAATAAAAGTAAAAATGCTATTGCACTATGAGTTATGCATTTAGTAACTTATAAAAAAGCTTTGCATAAATTTTGCTCAAAAAGATGACCTGTATGGATAGTAGTTGACTTAATTTATTATTAATTGTGTTTCATTTTATAGAGGGCTACTGAGCCAAGAGAGGCTGTATGCCATTGCTGCTGAGAAAAACTATCTCCAAGAGGAGCCCACTTCTTTTCAAAAAAGGAATGCTAGTCAATTTGATTGGGCTCTGATGAGACTAGACAATTCTGTCCGAAGAACTGGCCGCATCCCAAAGACTCTTCTACAAAAAGTCTTTGATAACACCTGTACCTCAGGTATTTGAAATTTTCTGTTCAAACAGTTGAACTTCTTCATAAATACTTACTTGGGGCAAGCTTATTATGGAGCACATTATTTAATACTTTTTGTTATTTCTGTTGATCATGATTTTATGTTATGATTGTGGTCTTTCTTGCCTTTCCAACTCATCAGCACAAAGCTTGGAGTAACTAAAACATTTTATTTCAGATGTTTATTTTGAAGTCAAATAATAATTGCCCTTTTGCTTTCCAGATTTTATGAAAGAGTTACTTCCAGTGGTAAATTTTCTTGGAAGATATTAGTTTTTCTTACCTTTCATTGTCAGGTTTCCCTATGATCACATATAACAGACTCCCAGAAACACTGGTAATTATTTCCCTTTTACTTTCACTTAGGTATTAAAATATATTAGAGTCATTTATGCAACTTTGATAATTTGATGGAAGCTTGTAGGCCCTCTACTACCCCACCCTACAAAACCCACATGCAAACACACATATATGTAGTTTCAGAGCATTCACTGGCTTCCTAAAGCCCATCATGGATTTCAGTCACATTAAGAAGCTATAGACTAATGATGAGGGATACCAAAGAAGTGTCAGTTGTAATCAATGTGCATTTAAATACTGTTTTTCATTTTCTCTCTTTGATCTATACAGAATTGTACAACTATCACAGTCAATTTCAGAACATTTTTGTCTCCCCAGAAAGAAACCTCCATACCCCCATCAGCCTCCAAAACCCTCCCATCCTTACACAACCGCTACTGTACTTTCTACCCTATCGATATGCTTATTCTGGATACTTCATATAAATGGAATCATACAATAAGTGGTTTGTTTTTCTAAAGTCAGCTTTCAGGGACATGTAGATAAAGGACATGGATAAAGGAAGAAGGAGGTTTATATTTTGTGACTGTTTATAAACCTAAAATGGATTTTCATGGGTTTAATTTTACTGCTTTGTACTATTTCATAAGATACTGAGAAGCTTAGCCTTTGAATTGCAGTAAGCACTGCATATAAATTAGGTTTTTGTATTTTTTATTCTATAGTCTTGCAGATTAAATAGATTCATAACTGTAGCTGCCTTAAGAAAAGAGGCGAATTTTTAGAAACTTAGAATTTTTAGTAACATTGTACATTATGCTTGTGGATCAGGATAGGATTTTTTTCAGTTTACAGGTACTCTCAATATTTTTAAGGAGGCAGGAGATTTTTGAATATTTATAGGTTTCAGTTTAAGGCTTGATGTTTGTATGGTATTGGTACTATGCTAAACGTTATCTGTTCACCTTTTTTCCTAGGTTGCCCAGGTGGTAACCAAGCCTTGCTTCTGCTGCGCAGCTGTGGCTCTCTCTTGCCTGAACTGAAGCTCTCAGAGAGAACAGAATTGGCTCACAGGATATGGGACAGACTTCAAAAATTGGGTATGATTGTTTAAATATCTGATGTATATAAAAGGTGTAGATATTTTTTGCTTTAGTAAAACAGAATATCTTTACATAGATGCTATAATTTAATTTTATGGAAAAGCCACTGGATTCATAATTTTTTTATAATATTTATTTTGTGAGTTATAGTGACATCTAGGGGCATTAAGAATAAAATAAGTTTTCATAATAAATATTTTATGGTAAGGCAAAAAGCGAAAGAACAAACTAAGCAGTCCTTTGGTCTGTCAAAGTTATAAATGCACATACATACTATTTGACCAAGCAATTCCATTTGTTTAAATTTAGACACAGATGTACTCACATTTACAGGAGGATATTCTTCATTGTAGCTTGTTTGTAATAGTAAGAAATTGGAACCAGCTTTGTAATGTCCTTCATTAGGGGATTGGTTAAATAAATAATGGAGTATCCATAAAACTGTTAAAAAAATATGAAGTTCTTCATATACTAATGTGGGGTAGTCTCCAAGATGTAAATTAAAATTAAGGCACAGAACAGTATGTATAGTATGTTACCATTTTGAAAAAAAAGTTTATATGTCATTTATTATTAAATATATTAATATATTAAAAATATTAAAGAATAAATGGATGCATCTTTAACATGGTAAAATCTAAAGCCAACAAACTAATAAATATCATGCATAATGGCAATGAAATAAGATTGAAACAATGCTAGAAATTATTATTTTTTAGGTGACGTGCTTTTTTATCTATAAAATCCAAGATACTCAACTTATAGCAAAGTAGTTGGAAATATTAAAAAGTCAAGATTCTAGAACCTTTCCTAGTTAGAAAATCAAATGGATAAAAGGATAAAATGGATACAGTCACATATATAAAGTATCTAGGAATATCCTTCAAGAAATGTGTAGCACTTATATGTAAAAAAGCTGTGAGAATAAAGACAGAGCCTTACTTCAGAGTTTTGAATTCATCTAGAGTTAATTTTGATGACAAGTTTATGTTTTTTTTAAAGGTTTTAAAAATAGAGATAAAATAAATATTGTATTTCAGAATGGAAAAGGGTTTTTCTAAGTGTAAAAGCAACAGAAAAGTGAAGAATAAAGAATTGACTAAGAACTAGAAATGTCTTTGTCAATAAGTCACATAATTTAAGAAAAACAGATTGAACTGGGAGAAATATTTGTGAAAAGGTTATATTCTAAAATATAAAAAAAGCCCTTATACAGCAGTTATAATGTTAACACCTCAATAGAAAGATAGATACTTTTTATTATAATTGTCTCAAACATGTATTTCCTCTCTATCCTACTTGAGAGTGGCATCCGTAGCATCTTTGCCAGTAGCATGATGCTTTGTACATATTACACCTGATAAATACTTCTTGAGTTAATATTGCCAGAAGCCTCGTAGATAGCCAGTATGACTCTTATTCACAGACCCGTAAAGCTGTAAGAGAGATTTTAGCTTAGCTAATGTGTCCGAAGTTACAGAATGAGCTATTGACAGATCTGAGACTGGAACTGAGATTTCTGAACTAAAAGGGATTCCGGAGGAAACACTGGAAATGATAGAATCTCATTTCAATGTTGCCGTGTACTAAATTTTTAATATAATTACTGTTGGCACACCTCTTTGGCTACACCACAGTAATATACTATGTCTCTTTAACTTGTTTTTCAAGTTGTCCATCTTTTCTGGAATGGTCTTTATTTCTTACTCTTTAAATCAATCCATTTTTCAAGCTAACATTTAAATCCCTCCGTTCTAGAGGTTTACCTCTAGTCCGAATTAGAAATGACCCATAAAGTTAACTAGACATAATAGTAAATATGGGAATAAAAATTTTACTGAATTTACAGAAATATTTTTGTCAACCATAGCACTATGCCAGTGTGGCAGAAATAAAGAAATGCAATGTAGTAGAGTTAGGTTGAATATTGATCTTAACTAAAAATCTGTATGAAAAGCTAGAATAGATTTTAGTTATCTGGATTTTGTGCAGTTTCCTCAGCTTCTCTAAGAAACCAGAGTAGTGAATGCTTTTATAGAATTATAGAATATAATTTCCTTCAGTTGTAGAGCTGTAGCCAGCCATTATTAAAGTTTTTCATCTTGACTTGATGATTTTTTAGAAGTTTTATAGACATTATATGGTAACCTTGTTGCTTAGTCATATTATAGATGTTGAATTGTACAAGGTTCTCTGTAAGGCCTTATATAAAGTATTACTGTGGTTAAGAGATTGGGCTCTCAAGGCAGACCGCCTACATTCAAATTTATGGTCACTTACTAGCCATGTGGCCCTGGGCAAGTAAAAGTCAATTTTCTTCATTTGTAGCGTGGGGATGATAATAGTATTTGCCTCACAGCTGTTGGGAAGAGTAATTGCAGAGCGCTTAGCACAGTGCCTGAAACATAGTAAACACTACATCTCTGCTGAGATAAAAACAAATATTAATTTAATAGAGCAGGCCTCTGCTGCCTTGTATCTCAAACTGATAACCATATACTGACCACTTGCCTGTGTGGCCACAGGCAGGTGAATAAAGATATGAAATTTAATTCATGAAAATTTGGTAAAACTTGTTAGCACTAGATGGATATGGTGACCATGATGTCATGGGGATGGTAAGGCAGAGTGGTAACCTTAATATAGGGCTTTAGGCAAGATGGACATAGAAAGAAAACATGGCACTGGAACCCAGGTAATTAATAGCTGAGTAGAAATGGTGTTCAGCAACTGGGAATGGCGTGGAAGTGGAGCCTTCAAACAAAGACCTGGAGTAGCCTGGTTAGTGAATAAGCAAAATTGCCAGCACGGTCCTACCTGTATAACACAACTACAGTCACAGCCCATCCACCGTTGCACACCGCAGTCTGCAGTGTGGCAAGGACTGCTTTATATAGAAGAATCATTCAGTCACTTTAAATACATGGGTATTGTCAGCATTTTCTAGCAGGAAGGGAATACTGTGCTCCATAAGCAAGAGACCTCTTAATATCCGAATAGGCAGGTACTTGTTTGTAACTGTACAGTAATTCATTAATTACCGTCTTACATGTTTAGCTTGCTCTGTTCGGATAAAATTTCTATATCAATGGTTCTAAGCATGGGATGAAAATACCGAAGTGATCATTTTATTCCCTGTTAAATTTAAGTGCACATATTTTCGTTGTGATAAAGGATATGATTTGAAATGTTCTTCTAAAAATTTGAATTAAATTTCATTTGTAGGAACTGTGTATGATGTAAGTCACTATAATGCTTTACTTAAAGTCTACCTTCAAAATGAATATAAATTTTCACCAACTGACTTCTTGGCAAAAATGGAGGAAGCAAACATTCAACCAAATCGAGTAGGTATTTGCTATTGTAAATGTTTACTGGTCACATCCACTCATTTTAACACAGAAAAAAATACTATTAAAAAAATAATAACTGGCTCATTTCATTGCCAGGTGACATACCAAAGGTTGATTGCTGCTTATTGTAACATGGGAGATATCGAAGGTGCCAGGTATGGAGCTCTATGAACGTATGTTTAAGCAAACAAATTTATAAGTCTTATAAATCATTTAGAATATACTCACTCTTTTTTCCGTTTCTGCTAAGTAAGGGAAATTATTTCAGAAGTATTTTAATCTAGCAAATTTGGTCATATGGCTTAGATAAAATATAAAATTGTATAAGAGGAACAATAAGTAAAAATTGTTATTTTAATTAAAAATTTGATTTACTGGAGCAGTGGTTTAAAATTGTTGAGGTGTAAAGCTGGCTTTCCTTTTTTTAAATTGATATTTCCTAAAGAAATGTTCTTAGCCATTTAAACTATTCATTTATAAAACAGTATCTTGCTGATTTACATAAAGTCAGTTGTGACATTTCTCTGCATGTATAAAATTTATTACTGCTTTTGGATAGAGAGCTTATGAAATAAAGGATAAATTGAAATGTACAATCTCATTTTTTTTTTTTTAAAGATTTTTTATTGGGGAATTGGGGGGATAGGAACAGTGCTGGGGAATTGGGGAAAGGGGAACAGACAAGTTGCTGTCGTTTTGTTCTTCAATCTGGTTGTGGAGGATGTTGCTTCACTGGCCCAAGTTGGCACCATCATTGCGCTCTTCCCTGGCGAGGCAGATCAGTCGCCGGCTTCTGGACGGCTGCTCACTGCGGCTGCTGGCCGCTCACGCTGGCTGCTGGCTACACACGGTAGCCCATGGCAACCCACTGCCACAAGGCTGCAGCCCACGCCGTCGCCGGCGACTCATGGCAGCCCAGCTCCAGGTTGAGCTGTTGTTCAGCATCTTAGCTGTGGAGGGCAGTGTCACTGGCCCTCATATGTGGGATCCGAACCGGGGCCCTCTGGCATCCCAAGCGAGTTCTTAACCATCGCGCCACTGGGCCGGCCCACAATCTCATTTTTAACTAAATTAACCTTACTAAACTTCATGCTTTTGAAAGGTTAATTAGTAGTATAGAAGAAAACAATCAGATTTTTAAAAATTACTATTTTTAACAAGAGTACTTCAAGACAATTGCTATAATTTCAGGGAATGGAGTTTTGTGTGTATATGTTATAAAAAGTGTTTTTGTTGTATATTTCCAAGTATTATTTTCATTTCTCTTTCATTGCAGCAAGATTCTTGGATTTATGAAAACTAAGGATCTTCCAGTCACAGAGGCAGTGTTCAGTGCGCTTGTTACCGGACACGCAAGAGCTGGGTAATGTTCAACCTAAGGCTTTGTTCTCAAGCGAGGTTTAAATTACAGAAAATTATTGTAGAAAATCCATAAACGATATTTGTGTACTTCCTCAGAAACAATCTTGAGTGTGTGAGATAGAACATGCATACTTTTAAAATACCTTAAATTTACCGGTTTCATAAAACTTTTATTTGAAAATTTTCTGTCATAAACATTGGGCCTGAGCCAAAGTAACTGACTTTGTAAAGTTTATTAACTGATTTGCTGGTGCCCTGGAAAATATTTTTAGTTTTGAAGAATAATTTACTAAATGTTTTCTTCCCTAAAAAGGTCAATTTGAGTCATACTTAGTGAAAGTACTCGGTATTTAATGTCTATGTAATTACTACACAATTTGGTTTTTCTTTTGGAAAAGTTACCTGTAAAAATTTGAGATGTTTATCATCTTTATTATTTCAGAAACCTATAACTAGTTTAATATGTATTTGTCCTTTTCTGATGTTATCATGTTTCTAAATGGTACTTAGGAATTTTCAATTTTACTAAGCATAGGTAATGTATTTTAGGTTGAAAGATAATATTACATTTGGCAGTATTTTCTTTGCATTAACTTGCAGAGATATGGAGAATGCAGAGAACATTCTCACGGTGATGCGAGAGGCCGGAATTGAGCCTGGCCCAGACACGTACCTAGCCTTACTGAATGCATATGCTGCGAAGGGTGACATCGACCATGTTAAGCAGGTATGACTTGCATCATGTAAATAAACTCACTTAAAAATTATTTGTGTAAAAACTTACATTACGTTTACATGAAGCAGAAAAGTATAGTTTATATCTGTTTTCAGAGATACCTGTTGTAGACAGTAGTAATGACGGAGAATTTTTATAGTTTGGTACCTTGTTAATGTAATAGTTATTGTTGAAATAGAATATTTCTGTTTTATAAAAGAATTCCCAAACCTTTAGATGATACATGTTCCTAGTGTTTTAAATCTTGGTATTTTGATTTGTTCAGCTTTAATTTAACATACTGGTTTCTAACTTGTTCTAATTTTTGGAACGGTTTATAGACTCTGGAGAAAGTGGAGAAGTCAGATCTTTACCTGATGGACCGTGATTTATTGCAACTTATCTTCAGCTTCAGTAAAGCTGGGTATCCTCAGTACGTCCCAGAAATTTTGGAAAAAATTACATATGAAAGAAGATATATTCCAGGTAGTTTTAAAATTTTTGCTTTCATGATTTTTCTAAAAATCTGAATTACTATTCTTACATGATGAAAAGGGCAGCCTCTAACAATTGGGGATTGTGGTAGATGAACATAAGACTCTAAAAGTCAGCTTAAACTAAAAAACTTGGGTTAATGAATACATGGGAATGTTTTAATTTGGAAGCGTTTCATTATTATTTAGGCACATATCTCCTTTTGGTGTTTGTAGTTCATAAGTTTGTCTTTCATATTGGTTACAGTATAAAAATATCGTTCATTTCAGTAAAAGATGTCTTTGTTTTTTTCCCAGATGCAATGAACCTTATTTTGCTTTTAATCACTGAAAAATTGGAAGATACAGCCTTGCAAGTTCTGTTAGCATGTCCTATATCAAGGGAAGATGGTCTGAGTGACTTCGGCAGTTTCTTTTTACGACACTGTGTGACTATGAATACGGTATTCTGTCCATTTTTACATGTCGACAGTGTAATAGGCAGTGAAATAGGATTTTTTTTTAAATATAAGAACCTACTATGAGATTAGACCAATTATAAATAGTATGAAAACTTTGTTTTTGTGTTTTAAGATTATTGGGTAGAAAGAGGATGAGGGGTTCACATTTTTCATCCCAAAAGCATTAGAATATTTGCAGAATGTCAAATGGTAGGATACTCGTAGATCCAGCTGACGTGTGCCCTTTGTTTTTCTAGCCTGCAGAGAAGCTGAAGGACTACTGTAAGAAGTTAAAGGAAGCCCGGATGCACACGTCTCCTTTACAGTTCACACTCCAGTGTGCTTTACTGGCCAATGAAGCCGGTACTGCATTCTCATAATTAAAACCAACATGCATGTTTTTCTCAGATAGCTTTGTAATACTTCATGGTATCTCTTTCAGATTTGGCAAAAGCTCTAATGAAGGCTCTGAAGGAAGATGGTTTTCCTGTCAGAACTCATTATTTCTGGCCGTTGCTAGTTGGACATCAGAAGGAGAAAAATGTTCAAGGTTAGATTTTGCCTTCTACAGATCGGTAGTGGTTCAGAGATCCATTGTAACAGTTTGTACACACATCTAATTGAGTTTTTTGGGAATTTTTTGGGAAAGCATACTTATTCCTGAGTATTAGATCTTCTGAGAAAATAAAATTGATTTAAATCATAGGGAAGTATTAGGTAAAGATTCTAAAAAAACAGATGTAATGGATTTCTTTCATCTTAATTACATTTCACTTCTTAATTCATCTCTGATCTATATTCAAACCTGTGAGTATAGTTTTAAACAGGTCATTATTTTTAAGTTTTTCTATAACTCTTTAGTTCTTGATTTCACATACGGTGTTTGAAATTAGTTTGTCTAGCCTTATTAAAGATAAAGTTATATATCATCAGACCATTTTCTTTGTGGACCAGCTTTTTTCTTCTTAACTGAGATGAGTTACAATAATAGGAACAGCAAGAAAACTTTTATTGCAAAATGCATGCTCATGACCTGACAGCCTGCTGATTGAAGGACAGAAATGTTCAATCTTCCAGGTTCTTAAGTACGTTTAAGCATTTAGCATACTTTTCCCTTGTACACATGGGATGTCTATAGGATATGAATAAGAATTGAACAAATATTAAATTTTAGAGTACAGGATCTAATTCTTTGGTTTGCATTATTGGTAATTCAGAAAGAGTAGTATCATAAAAAGATGCTTTTAACAGAAGTACTTCCCCCTTGGGGAAACAAAAAATGGTCTTTTTCATTTTATCTCAGTATAATGTGCTTTAGAATGAGATGCAGAGTTGTTAGTATGACATTGGGTGACAAACAAAATGCACAAACAACAAAAAAAGTGCTTTTAGCAGACTTTCATATTGCAATTTTATTTTAAATATATAGCTGTCTTCTGGTTTAAAGGAAATGGTGAAACAAGTATTCCCTAATTGTTTCTGGCTATAAAAGTCTCTAAATCCTTTTTAGAAAAATCTCTGGAAAACAATATGCTTAGTTTATTAACTCTTTGCATATCCTCCAGTTGTGGAAACTCCAAGAAGTAACCTTTAAACTCAGTCAGTATTTTTGAATCACAGAAAGTTTACATCATTCTATGAAAATCTTTGGGCGTATTAGTATTGTCCCCCTTTACACAGATAGGAAAATACTTTTGGTACCTCTGTTGAAATGTTTGTTTCTTCATCAGGTAAATTTGCTTTCCTCAACCTTAGCACTGTATCTAGACTTGAATTGGTTACCACATTTTTACTACGTAGTACACATAGAAGAATTCAGGTAACCTCTTTCTGTAGTTGTAGCTCAAGCTAGAGAAAAGTGGGCTTTATCTTGAATCCATCTTTTCTTAGAATCTTAGAATTTAGATTTCAGAGGTGTCTTGTTGAAAGCTCACATTATATTGATGAAGGAACTGAGAGCGGCAGAGAGATTCAATGACTGACCTTAGGCTCCACATCTAGCTGTCAGAAGTGCTGGGATTAGAATTGAGGATTTCTGCTCTCCTATTTTACATACTCTAAATACCATAACATTTCTATACTAGACATCGCTAAGTATTGTGCTAAATTTATTTTATGAAAATTCTTAGCTACTGGTTAAAAATTAGGTACTGATTTTTACACTAAGAACATTTAAAAAAATGTTACCAAGTTTTTAAACCAATGGTCTTTTTAAAAAATTTATTTTCTAATTATAGTTGACCTGCGACATTATATTATTTCAGTGTATAACATAGTGATTAGACATTTATATAACTTATGAAGTGATCACCCTGGTAAGTCCAGCACCCATCTGACTTCACACATAATTATTAAATATTAGGGACAACATTCCCTGTGTTATACTTTATCCCCGTGACTTTTTTTGTAACTGGCAATTTGTACTTCTTAATCTCTTTCACCTTTTTCACCTAACCCCCAATTCCCCTCCCAGAATCAATGAAGGTTTTATCTGGAAAAATATAAAAGCTGAGAAAGGTAACTTGAGAGAGTACAAGATATTGTCATTTGTTTTACAGTGTTTAAAAACTAGTTTCTCCTTTTGCAGGAGTCCAAAATAATAGTAAAGTAATATGTTCTACAGTCTTCCTCATGTAACAGGGAAATGGCTAAATGTATTCTCTCTAGTTTCTTTAGTGTAAGCTAAGAAAGTAACATTCTTACTAGTGCAATGAACTTGTTCTTTGTCCAGAGAACGTCATATGTAAACCGGTAGAAATAACAAGGAAATAATGTGATGGAGGATGTAGAGTGTTTCCTGTGGAATAAATAAAACCCATCAGGACATCAAAGAAAGGTATTTAGGGGTCAGATCAAACTGAACCAAGAGTGTTCAACAATTTTTATTGAATTCTAGAATTTTCCTGGCTGTAAATTCAGCCATCACAAACCTCTAAGAAAGACTCTTACCATGAACTCCTCATGGCTCATTTTACTAGTATTTTTCTCTGGCATAAATGGAAGAGTTACCCCTCAGAATTTTAGCAAATTGGCCTGAATGAGAGGAGATAACCCGGAATGACTGAGGATCTATATCTCTTGGTATTTTTAGTAAACCTAAAAATAAGAATATTGAAAGGGCAAAATATATAAGGAAGGGCCAATGTGAAAGCATAAATGCCCGTTGAGTGAAGTGTTTGAATAGAAGGTACTCTTCAAAAAGTAAGAAATTGCCTGCTAATAAAGTGAGTGCTCTGATTAGAGTCTAAAATCACGTGGAGTAAATGGCCATAGTTGGTAAAAGTTGCTCAGGTAAATCATATATATATTTCCTCCCCAAAACTTTGAACTATTTTAATTCTTATAAAACTTTCAATTCATGAACTTTCTCATGACTACATTTGAAATATTAGATTGTGTATTTAGTCTTAATTTAGATTTTCTAAATTCACAGAGATTTGGGATCCATGTTTATTTAAGTTAATATATGGTTATTTTAATCTTTTTTAAAAAGAAATATGAATCATATTTTTTAGGAGGATGTATGTAGTTATGTCAGGTCAGTCATCTTTTTTCTCCTTATTAATAAGTGTTTCACTCTTCCCATTTGACTAAAGTTATTGAAGCAAATGAATATCGTTGTTATTCTCCCTCAGAATGCCTGAGGGAGTGACTGAGTTTATCTGAGTGACGGTGTGAACCCAGGTTTTCTGAAACCTTCTTTAATTTCAGTTAGAAAATTAAATAAGTTAAAAATGCTAGTAAAAGTTCATCTAAATAAGCAGAATGCACCCCTCTCCCTGATAAACATTATTGGAAAAATGAAGAAGTAAGAGAATAAAAAGCGTCTGAGGCATAGATAATTGAGTGAAATGATTTGTACAAAAATAAGAATTGTCAACTTGTTGGCCTATTTTCAAACATTAGAAAATCAAATATATAGTTATCTTATGCTACATTTACTCTACACATCATCTAAGGAAAATTGAAAAATTGTTGAGTATCTTAAGACAGGTAAAAAAATTAAATCATTGTTACTATTAACATTTATTTAATATTTTTAGAATTTCACACATATTTTTTCCTTTAATTTTAATGACTGCCCTGAGAGGTAAATAGGGAGCTTTATTATCATCATTTGTTTCCATATTACAGAATTCCACTTATTTTATTTCTCAATTCTGTTGCTATTCTGCTTTCTCTTTTAGACAAACAAAATGCTGAGTACTTTTCCTTCATTCCGATTTAGAAAGTAAATGAACTAAATTTACTGATCTTTTGTTAATTTATTCTGAGTTCTTATCTCTGTGCTTGTGAATTTTATCTTACAGGTGTAGTTGAAGTCCTCAAAGGAATGCATGAAATGGGAGTGAATCCTGATCAAGAGACATATGTAAATTACGTGTTTCCATCCTTTGATAGTATAAAGTCAGCTCGTGCTATTTTGCAGGTGAGTGAAAGTGTAGTTTTAATTTCATAATTGAAGAGAGTATCTTTCCTTCCGAATGTTTAGTGGTGACCAAAGGAAAAAAAAGTCATTAAGCTCAGCACTAAAAATGGCCATGTCTGTCTGTAATTTCTAAATCTTTGTAAAAATATTGGTTAGTGTAACATCTGTAGTGGTTCAATTTTAAAAAATTAATAAAAGTAAAGCAGCATTTTTCTTGTGTGTTGAAAGACAATATGCCAATATCAGAAAAAAATTAAATTGAACTATTTGCTCCTAATCCCACTCTACAATGCAACTGTAATTTTTATTTTGAATATTACTTTGCACTTCTATATGAATTTTAAAAATACATTCATGGTATATTTACTATGTTTTTTTTAAATCATATTTTGTTTGACCTCAAAGCATTATTTTCCTCCCAATACTTCGTATCCCCATGAGAATAGGGAAGGCCTTCATGAAGGAGCATATGAAGAAATTGACTTAGTGCGTTGGATCAGCAAGGGTTGCACTTTCTATTTTCAAAACAAAGTGCTGTCCAATTAGGAACAACATGGCAGAGCACCAAATACTGTAAGAAATATTTAGTTCAAAAGATCTGTTTCCTAGGTGGTTATTCATATAATGCCTTGATTTTTTTACTGTTACAGTAATACTTTGGTTTGCGAGCACAATTTGTTCCAGAAACCAACTACTCGTATTGCAAGAAATCGCTCATTTACCATGTTAAAATGTATTAGAAATGTTTGCTCATCTTGTGGAACACTTGCAAACCAAGGTTTTACTGTAGAATGTTTTCTTTCTTTGCAATAATTACATAATTATAACCCTCTGAAAGGTAGAGTTTATCTTGAGTGTCTTTACTTCTCTTCCCTGAGTACTTAGCTGAGTATTTTGAGCCTGTACTGTACATATTTTACTGTTAAAAATATATATATTTCTCACATAGTCTTATTTCCCTAAATCTTTTTTCCACGTGGCACCTTTCCATTATGGTTTGTAATTCTACCAGTTATTTTTTATGCTTGAATATTGTTTTGTTGTATGGATATACCATAATTTATTTCTATTCATTGCTTATTGATTGGGTGGTTTTTAATATTGTGCTACTATATATACAGTGACTCAACAAATATATTTGAGCTAATTTTGGTTTTATATACTTAAATTATTAAACAAATGATGTTGGGGCAAGTGATTAACCATTTGGAGATAAATACGATTTTCACCTCACTGTATGTCCCAAAATATCATTTTACATCAATGCATTGAATTTTTATTTTGTTTTAAATTAGTCATTGTTCTAGTGTCTTCAATAGTAAGTTCTTTCTAGAAGGAAGGCATTCTAAGGGTGACAGATTATCTGAATTTGAAGATAAGCATTTAATTTGGAATGTTGGAACTTCATCTCATAGCTTTTGCTGAAGTCCAGTAATTCAGTTTATGTATTGTTCTAGAAAATGATTTTTTTAAATGAAGGATTATTAGAGAATATTGGTGATCTAAAGACATGGAAAGATGAAATTTGAATGGCACATAAAAATGTTTTTAGCTGAGGCATATTATCATTGAAATGTGCTTTATCCCTAGGAAAATGGATGTCTGCCTGAAAGTAATATATTTTCTCAAGCTGAATTGAGAAGTGAAGCAGTAAATGGGAACTTAGACTTTGTTTTATCATTTTGTAAGTATGCAACATTAGCGGTAAAGTTGGTACCATGCTACATTTTAATAAGTAAGACATGAATTAAAGTCTTCACTTTTGAACATATTTATGATGTTACCTGCGAGTTTTTCAGATCTTGTGAAAAAGATACCATTTAAAAATGAAACACACAAACTTCAATTTCTGACCCTCTAAAATGTTCAGAGTTAAGCTCTGATTAAATGTGTATTTAAAATGTATAGGTGGAAGCTTTGTAAAAATCAAATTATTGATATATATTACCTGTGTATATGTTGTTTAAAAATAGTTCATAATATTGTTAAGGGAAAGGCAAAGCGTTTAATATGAAAAACGGTGACTTAGTTGAATAGTTCTTTGAGTTGAAGTTTGGACGTTAACGCTGGCTGCTATCTGAGTGTATTGATTTTGCCTTCCACTCTGTGTAATATATAAATTTTCTATACTGACAGGATGAAAACAGAGAAGCATTAGCAGAGAAATCTGGGCACCTGAGGTGCATATATACAGCAGAGCTGCCATTTCTCTTTATCATACCATCCATTCCACTTCATTGTCAGCCTCTTGGTTTTCCAGACTTGTTTGTTGCTAAGGAAACTGAATGATTTTGTCAGTAGCCTTCAGCTCGCTGAGATGTTTCTGGTCACCTTTTTAATGAATAAAAACTTGACAATATTCTGTAAAATACTAATTTGAATAGTATAAAAATAAACTTTCAAGAGATTGTTTACTAAATTTGAAAGAAAATTCCAGGAACTTTTATAAAGAGTATTTCGGCTCATCCCTGTCAGTACTTCCCCCCACCTTTGATTTGCAGGTCTTTGGAGCAGTTCGTTCTATAATTGCTGGTATTCACTGTTAGGCAGGTCATAGGTGTGCATTTTTAGAATGCATCACAAAGAATGGCAGGTAGGAGAGAGGACTAAATAGATGGCTTATCTTAGTGAGTTTGGACAGTAACAGGAAACATTTTCCTACTTGTGTTTGTAGGCGTGGAAAATTAATTTGATCAAGGAAAATGAAAGGTTGCCGAAAGGCATGTTGTTGTGTCTACTTTAATTCCTTGAGTGACAAAAATGCAGGGCATTTTTGAAGTGATTTTTAAATTTCCAAATGCTGTATCAAACCACTGAGAAATGCTCCCTGTTCTAGGGATATAACAGGTGATCTGAAACAATTCTCTTTATGTGTGTTGGTTAAATTTTTATTCACATTTGGAGGAGGTGAGCAAAAAATGTTACAGTCTACTGTGACTTTTCCCATGAGAGTTTTTTTCTTTTTTTAAGTTAACCAGGTATCTTAATCTTTACTTAAACTATGTTTATTAATTCCGTCTTCAGAATTTGCCTGCACTATGAGTTCCTGTTTAATTTCATCCATCTTGGATTATTCACTAGCTACATTACATGTACACTGAAAAGATTAAATCAGTTACTTATAATGTGGCACCATTTTAATGCAATGACAGGGAAAATTATATTCAGGAGATGCTTACTGTAATTCCATCTTTTCCTTGTTAGTTATGGCCAGGGTTCTGTGGAGAATCAGGCCTTAAAATAGAAGGCCTACTACTAAGGCAAGTCAGGCTTATAGCATCAGCCTGAAACATCCAGCGGTGTAGACGGGTAAGTGCCAAAATGAGGAGGAGAGCAAACAAATGCCCAGAAAAGTAAGATGGATATAAATTAATTACGTAACAGAGTTAACAACCTATTTTGTTAGGATTTTAGACTGTCAGTCTTGCATGAATTAGGCCATTGATCATAGTGGAAAATAGAATGAGTAAGTGTGAATGGTTCAATAGGACACAGCCCTGCTCTGAGATTAGAACTTTTCCCTCATCTGCTGTCTTTAAAGGACAGAGGTGCTGTAGAGTGGCTAGTCTCCCCCTTCAGAGGGCCACATTGTCCTTTACCCTATAGCCTGACTCTGAGTATGCTGGTAGATGAGTTGCTGCCATTTATATGAAAAAAATATTTAATTTATTGTATACAAGTATATTCATGAAAATTTTTTAAAAGGATAGCTTATGTTGTAAATATATGACTACATTATGTAATTATTTTTATATGAAAACATTTCCACTTTAAAAATAAAATTTCCAAAATGGAAGTTTCAAAGATACCAGAATAAATGTGTTTCCAAATAAGTTGATAATTTTTTTGTGTTTGGTCTGAGATTTAATGATGGTCATTTTCTTTTACAGTGGAATCAAATACATTGTCTTTCTCATTTGCTGCTTTGCGAGGCAGCCTGATTCTAGGCTTTAGGAGGTAAGGTGATCACCTTATATAATGTTCTTTACCTGAATATGGTCTGCTTTCTCCTCTCTTTTTGATGTGCTGTATGAGGAAAGACAGATACTCTCCCAAATCTTCCAATGTGCTAGTTACCTGAAATAATCTTATCTGTTTTATTCTTCCTACTAAGTAATTGAATTGAGTTCAGGCAGCCTGTTATACTTTTTCCAAGACATAACCACAGATTTGGTAAAGGTCTTGTATCAAAGAAGAAAGCATTGTGTGAAAATGGCAAGTTCGAGTTATAGACAAATTTGCGTGTATGTTTAATTTATACTTCGAGTGTTTAATTACCAGGTGACTTTTATTCAGTATAAATACTACTTTCTTCCTCTGAGCTCAGGAAGTGTTAATGACCTTTTGTTATTTTGAAAATATTCAAATGTAAAGAAAAGTTGAAAGAATAGTAAAGGAAACATCCACATACCCTTTTATGTACATTTGCCATTTGTTGATATGTTATAATATTTGCTTTTCTCTCAGACGCTGTTTTTCTAATACATATATGCACACGCACATACATATGTATATTTTTTTGCTGAACCACTTAAAGTCGTAGATATCACAATACTGAATCCTTCAGCTATAGCGCTTAAAAAGAATGTCATCTATATAATCACAATACCAGTATCACTCCTAAAAAGTTAACAATGTAATATCATCTAATATCCATAGTCCATATTTAGATTGTCCCAGTTCTAGAAATTACTTTTATAGTTGTTTTACTTTTTGATTGAGGAGTAAGTTAAGTTCATGATTATATTTGATGTTTCTTAATTCAAAACAATTCCTTTACCTTTTTTTTGTCTGTATGACATTGACTTTTTTTTTTAAGATTTTATTGAGGAATTGGGGGAGGGGAACAGCATTGGGGAATCGGGTAAGGGGAACAGACAAGTTGCAGTCCTTTTGTTCTTCAGTCTAGTTGTGGAGGATGTCACTTCATTGGCCCATGTTGGTATTATCATTGCGCTCTTCCCGGGTGAGGCGGATTGGTCGCTGGCCATTGGATGGCCGAGCAAGGCGGCTGATGGCAGCTCACGCTGGCTGCCAGCCACTCACGGTAGCTCACGGCAGGCCACTGCAGCAGGGGCTGCAGCCTACTCCATTGCCGGTGACTCACAGCAGCCCAGCTCCAGGTCGAGCTGTTGTTCACCATCTTAGCTGTAGAGGATGCAGCATCACTGGCCCTCATGTGGGATTCTAACAGGGCGCTGCTGCTCAGAGCTGGCATCCCAATTCAACTCTTAACTAAAGCGCCACTCGGCTGGCCTTACACTGACTTTTTTGGGCTACGGCACTTTCTCTGTAGAATGTCCCTCTCACATTCTTATTTGTCTGACTTTTTTCTCATGATCAGACTCAGATTGAACATTTTTAGCAAGAATATTTCATAGGTGATAAGTATTTCTTATTGCATCAAGAGATACAATGTCAGGCGTCCAGTATTGGTGTCATCAGCTAAGTTTGATCACTTGGTTACAGTGGTGTTCCCCATCTCTCTCTCTCTCTCTTGCAAAGGAAGCTCACCCCCCTTTGTAATTAGTGAGAAGTCTGTGGGGTGATACATTCTTTTTTTTTTTTCAGCTGAGCCAGCCTGCCAGCTGTTGACAGCTCAGTGGCAGCTCGGCTTGGGCCAGGCATTGAACGACTAGTTGCTCAGAGCTCAGTGTTGAGTGAGCTCTTAACCAACTGAGCCACTCGCTGGCCCTGTGGGGTGATATATTGAGACAGTGTGTTTGTCCTGTTTCCTAGCGCCTTTGAGTGTTTTTAGCAGCCGTTGGTAATCCTTGTGGAATAAATTGTTAACAGTGGTGTTTTCAAAAGGATGAGTTTCTAATTTTGTCATTCTTTATGTATTTATAATGTTAGTGACTTCTGATATTAACCCCAGTAATTTTTAGTCTGTTCATTGGTTCGAGGACTAGAGTTTTCTGTAGATGTCTCCAAAATCTCCACTGCAGGCAAGAAGAGGTAGATAAAGTAGGTGGGATTCTGTGTTGCTGCCCTTTCTTTAGCCGGTGCAATTCTTATTCTTTTCAGTGATAATTTTGTGTGAAGTTAAAAAAAACACCAAGAAACCAATGTCTGTGTCTTTGAAAATAAAGTTTGAAAAATTATAGACTATGTAATGAAATGGACAAACATGCTAGTAGAGCCAAATATTTTGTTAAAATAGAACCCATAATGCGTTATGAAGTGAAATACAGTAACATTTTCATATAGTTATTTTTGAAAAGAGATTGGAAAAAGTTTTTCATATTTTTTAGTCAGTTTGAATGTCAGTTAAACTTCACAAATCCTAGACTTCTTTAAACAAAGTACTTGGACTATAAGGTTGATCCAATATGGTGGAAGAGAACAAATTGTATCTGCTGATATACTATACCCGTCAGTCATTGAGCTTTTAGTGGCTTATTTAAAGTATGCAGAGCTGCTTGCCCCACTAATAAATGTGTCTGGTTGCTATGTTTTCTCTGTTTCTGCTTTTTAATTTTGTGTCGTCACAGTTGCTGTCAGATTTTTTTTTGCCGTCACTCTTGACAACTTTCAGTGTGTTTACCTTAAGTAACCTATACACTTAAAGAATTTGCTGTTTTTGATTTATTTTGGGCTGAGAAATTAGGTAATCAAAGTCACTGCAATTTAGAACAAGAAACGGTTCTAAATAAGGGCATGCATATCTATTTGCTATTATTTTGCGACAAAGATTTGTAGCAGCTATTTTGGTTTTTAGACATGAGCTCCATATTTGTTTGGTTTATTGCACTATCTTCAACATGTAGATTAATACCTGGTACATGATCAGCACTGCTGAATTAATTACTCGGGCCTTATTTTCTGCCTCTGTTTTCAGGCATTCCAGTGATCCAAGAAGTATTTATTGTTGAGATCGGAGACATTTGGGGTCAGATTGTGAAATATTTTAAATAACAGAGGAACTTTCTTTATTTGGAGGACGTAGACTAACTTGTGCAGTGTGGAGCCTTGGCTGAGGCAGAGATACATTTAGAATGTATTTTAATTTCAGACATAGTTTTCATTTCTAGAAATTCAATTTGTTTTTTTTTTTAATATCTTCCATGTCTCCTTAACATGCTCATACTTTTTCTTTTTTCTTCCCTCTTGACTACATGAAATATTGATGATAGATGTTTCCATGTCCTTGTCTACTTATTCTATCATTTGTGTTATTTCTGGATGTTTATTGATTAAGTTTTCCTCACTATGTGTCATACATTTCTGCTTTGTAATTTGTGATTGGATGCCAGACATGGGTTTTATGCTGATTGATGTTAATTTTTTTTAATTTCTTTAAATATTTCTGAGCTTTGTTCTGAGATAGTCTTGAGTTAAGTTGCTTGGAGCAGTTTTATGCTTGCTTTTGTGCTTTGTTGGGCAGTAGCTGGAGCAGCCTTTAGTCTAGGATTATTCCCACTATATTAGTTTAGCCCCACTATTGAGACAGTCTTCTCCTGAGTACCCTGCCTGCTAACCCCTGTATACTTAGAGATGATTGGGAATAAGAACGTTCCAGTCCCTGTGTGAATTCTGGGAATTATCTTTTTCAGAGACTTCGAAAAGGTCTCGGGTAGTTTCCTTGGCTTCATATTGTTTTGCCCACTCACAGATGCTTTTCAGTAGTCCGCTAATGGCTGAGGACAGCTCTGCAGACCCAGAGCTCTCTCTTTGTCAAGGTCTCGCCTCTGGTACTCTGCTCTGTAAAAATCAGTTTTAACTAGTCCCTTCCAGGAAAGTATTTCAAATCTGTATGTTGTGTAACACTAGATTATGTTGATGAGTTTTTCTTTTTGTGGATATTAGAAAAGTTTTAGGTTGTAGTAATTTGGTATTCATAAAAATATGTGCATAATTTGAAGTATTTATGACTAGAGGTGATTTCTTTCCCTCCCATTCCCAAAATTACTAAAAAGTCAAAACATAACATCATTATAATCCATTTTCTTGGCATTAATGTAGACTTGTATTCTTTCATTCAATGCTGAATCTAATGTATATATTTTAAAATCCCTTTGTCAGTACATTCAGTATGACTATTGAAGCAATCACCTATCATGTGCTTGTCTGGGTCCTGTAGTGCTCTAGCATCTTAGAATTGGCTGAATGGGTAGGAGAAAACTGACTATTGATGGGCTTTCCCAATAGCGTCCAAATTAACTACCTACAACCCCTATAAAGATTAGCGCACAAGAGATTGACTTAAAGTTACTCTTACCAAAAATAATAATTCATAGTTATCAGAAATGTAAGAAGTTGTGCAGCATTAAATGAGATATCATAGTCACTTTAGGTAATCCTAAGGGACACTTGAACATGCATTTAAATATTGGAATGCAATTTTTGGAATACTTATCAACCATTACTATAATCTGCCTCCTAGTGGTAGATCCATGGTCTACGAGGCAGTAGCTCTTAGCATGTGTTCTGTAACCTCTTTTAGCCCAGATTAAGTTTTTTGTTGTTGTTGCTATCCTACAATATTTTTGAAAAGCCAACACTATTTTCTAAATCTTTTTAGAGTAGAATTTGTGTGACAAATTAGTATTTCTATAAATTGATACTCAAGAAATGAGCTTACCAGTCAAGTATAACACCTTTCTAAATTTTTCCAACTTATAAATTAAATTGTCTGTTAACATTTAAAGTATAGACAAAGTCACCTATAGAAATTTAAATTCAATGCTGCTTAGTTAGGGTGAGATTGTTCAAGATCATTAGGGAATTTTTACTTTTAAAGTTTCTCAAAAAAGAAGACTATTTTTAAGACTGTATTTTGAAGGGCATTTAGATCTGACTGATAAAGTTAGTAAATTCTTATGTCAAATCTAGGGCAAGAAGACATCTACTGCGAATAAGACTTTCTTAACAATAGCACTAGCTGAACAAAGATCAAATGAGAAAGAGGGCAGGATACATATTATATATTACTGAAAACTCCACCACCAGAAGAAATGTTGAGTCACTTCTAAGAGGCAACATGTCATTCAAGCTAGTTCAAAACTTGGCTGGGAATATAGCATATCAAAAACAGAAATGTTCCAGATTTTCCGTGGAGGAATTTAAGTCTTTGTAGTCCACAGAAGATTTCCGTGATCAAAGGAGGAGTTTTCTGACCCTGGGCAACAGCCTGAACTTTGCCATTGGGAATCTGAACCATTGAAGTGGTGCTGCTTTTCATATGTGGAAATCAAGTTTCTGATGCTAGTCCTATTGAAAGTCACCAAATTAAATGCAAGATATTAAGATTCTCTTTTCAGTCAGCGAGTGAGGCTGTCATTTGTAACAGTTTTACAGGGGGAGGGGAAATGCTCTATGAACTATGAGCTGTGAGTGCCCAGAAAATACTAGCTCTTATTAGTGTGTGCCAAGGGCCAGGACTGCGAGATAATAAGTAAAATCTTATTATGGGATAGGATACTTCGTGCCCTCTAGTTGTTTACAGTTGGAGACCAGAAAGTAAGACAGCAACTGCAAACTAGTCTTGATACTTAGGAATGTATAGACGAGAAGGTGCTCTCTTTTGGCCCAGGTTAGGGGCAGGATGGGTCAGGGCAGCATGTGCAGCGAAGGTACGGAGCTGAGTATTAGAGGATGAGTAAGAATTTGTCTACGGGGAAGGAGGGACATTCCAGGCAAAGGCATGAGCCTGAAAGAATAGCGCATTTGGGGACCTAAAGGTAGATTATAAAAGGAAAGCATGAAATAGTGGCAAGAAATAGAGCCAAAATGGTAGCCTGGGGCTCTTGAATGATCTCACTCTGAGTTATTCGGTTTGGACCGTGAGTCATAGCTTTTGAGCCATTGAAAGTTTACAAAATGAAGATAACTGACTGGATATTTGAAGTGGGGAGAAAAGGGTGCAGGTAAGAGCAGATGGGCAACATCTAGCAGATAAGGACAGCATGAATCGATGAGCAACACTGGGGTCTTTTGAGGTGCCTGTGGAACTTTTCATGAAGATTCTTAGCCTTTCTGTTTCCTCTTCTGTGAAAGAAGGAATTTACCGTATTTCCCCATGTATAAGACACACCGTTTTTTGAAAAATTTGGGGTCTAAACACTGGGTGCGTCTTATACAGTGGTTGTATGAGCGCAAAACAAAACAAAAAAAAGGGAAATGTAAGTAAAAAAAACCTACAACCACTGTATAAGATGCACCCAGTTTTTATACCCAAAATTTTTTGAAAAAGGGTGCATCTTATACATGGGGAAATACGGTAAGTACCTATATGCAGGATTGTCTTTAAAAAAAAAATAATAATGCACTTGGAACCTAGTACAGAGAATTGCTTTTAAGGAGCAGATGGAGAAAGAATTTCTGAAAGAGACTGAGTAGCATCACTGGAGCCTGGCAGATAATGATCAACAGCAACACAAATTTCAAAACATCGTCAAAGGAGACCAAAAAGTGTTAGGTGGATTTTGAGTTGAGACTAGTAGTCATTTTAGCAAGAGTACAGGGGAAGTTTGGGGTTAGAAGCCAGATTGCAATGGCTTAGGGGGTGAACTTGCCTTGAAGAAATGTTAACTATACAAAAGATTCTGTGTGGTTTTGTTTTTTGTTTTCTTTTAACCTTTGCCGATTATCATGAAGCTTCATATTTTGAGATAGTGCTTTTAGTTACTTTCAGTTGTTTTAAATATATATACTGTTTCGAAAGTTTATCTGCATGCCTTCCCGAGGTTCATCAGGCCAGGTCTGAAGGCAACTTAATATCTTAGCAGCAGTTTTTATTCTACATTAATATATTGATCAAAGATATGACTAAAATAGCTTTTCTTTTAAAGGAAGCCCAGCTTATTAATGTTGAAAGTTGGAATAGAGATGCAAAATTTAGACCAGAGATGTTGTCTATTTTTTTATTAAGAGAGTTTTCAGACATTCACAAAAGTAAAAGCCCTCATCACCCAGCTTCAAGAGTTAAAATTTTTGGCAATCTTGTTTCATCTGTTTCTTTCCTGTCCCCACCCTCCTTTTTTTTTTTTTCCTGGGCTGTTTAAATTACAGATCTCATGTTATTCTTTCTGTAAATACTTTAATATATACATTAGAATTTATTTTATTTATTTATTTTAAAGATTTTATTGGGGAATTGGGTGGATGGGAACAGTGCTGGGGAATTGGGGGAAGGGAAACAGACAAGTTGCTGTCCTTTTGTTCTTCAGTCTAGTTGTGGAGGACGTTGCTTCACTGGCCCAAGTTGGCACCATCATTGCACTCTTCCCAGGCCAGGCAGATCAGTCGCCGGCTTCTGGACGGCTGCTCACAGCGGCTGCTGGCCGCTCACGTTGGCTGCCGGCCACACTGTAGCTGATGGCAGCCCACTGCAGCAGGGGCTGCAGCCTACACCGTTGCTGGCTACTCACGGCAGCCCAGCTCCAGGTCGAGCTGTTGTTCACCATCTTAGCTGTAGAGGGTGCAGCGTCACTGGCCCTCATATGGGATCCGAACCAGGTCCCTGCTGCTCAGAGCTGGCATCGCAAGCCAGCTCTTAACCAACGCGCCACTCAGCCGGCCCTCAAAACTTTTTCTTAATGTGCTTCAGTGGGAGGGATGATTTTATCATAAGGAAGAGGATTATAGAGGCGTCATGGAACGTATTTTTATTTTTTATTTTGAAATAATTATAGAATTACAGTAAGTTGCAAATATAGAGCACAGAAAGTCTACATACTCCATCCATTTTCCCCCAGTGGTTACAGCTTACATAACTATAGTACTTTATCAAAACCAGAACTGTACATTGGTACAAAGTATGTGTGTAGTTCTGACACTAGCACATGCAGATTTGTGTAATCATCACCACAGTCAAGATACAGAACTGTTCCATCTCTACAAATATTCCCCTGGCACTACTCTACTGTTGTCATACCACTCTCCCTCCCCTCTGCTATCCCTAACCCATGGCAACCCTAATTTGTTCTCAATTTTTATAATTTTGATATTTGACAAAGGCAATATAAATGGACTCAAAGTATATCATGTTTTAAGATTGGCCTTTTTTTAAAATTTATTTTTGTTACTTTTCTTCTCTTTTCTTTTTTCTTTTTTTCTTTGTTTTTAGGATTGGCCTTTTTTCACTCAACAGTAATGCCCCTGAAATCCATCTAAGTTGTTGTGTCTACCAGTAGTTCATTCTAAATATGTTTTTTAACTAAAAATAAGTAAAAATAAATTAACTCACTATACCAAAACTCAGTCCACCCAAAACTGCCTAACCTCAAGTTTAAAAAGACCTATAAATTCTGTGGGTATTTTACAATGTAGACATATATATAATTATAATAAATATAAAAATTATAACATTACATTGTAAAATTATCATTAAAACACATAATTAGTCTTAAAGTAGATTATTTGTTTGAATTAAACATACAAAGCTTATAGACATTTTTACAAAGCTTATAAGTAGTATAACACCAGTGTTCATTGGTTATCTTGTTTTGTAAACGGTTTTTCATTTAAATAGGAAAAACTTGGATGAGTTGTTCTTTTTTGCTTTCTTTGACATAATTTTTTTTTGGGTGGGGTGGGGAACTGTTTTTCCAGGACCCATCAGCTCCAAGTCAAGTAGTTTCAATCTAGTTTGTGGAGGGCGCATCTCAGTGGCCCATGTGGGGATTGAACCAGCAACCTTGGTGTTAATGAGCACTATGCTCTAACCAACTGAGCTAACGAGCTGCCCCCGACATAATTTCAAATTTGCACCAAGTTGAAAGAATAGTACAGAGAACTCCTGTATCTCCCTTTGTCAACTTTTAGCCTTTTGCCACATTATCATCATTCATTTCCTCCATCTGTCTGTCAATCTGTATATACACACATAAACACATATAGACACATAAAATTTATTTTTTCAGAACTAGTTAGGCTTCAGTTGCATAATCATGACGTTTTCCCCTTAAATATATTAGTATGTAATTCCACAGAACAAGGATATTGTGTTATACAACCACAGCACAGGTGGCAAGTTCAGGAAATTTAATATTGATGGAATATTTTTGTGTAATATAGTTTATGTTCCTATTTTATCAATTATTTTGTTTTTCCATATTTTCCCCCCTCCTGTACAGAATCCAGTTCAGGGATGAATGTTAGCTAGCTTTTCTCTTTAACATTCTCTAATCTGGAACAGTTCTTCAGCCTTTGTCTTTTATAACATTAACATTTTTGGAGAACACAGGCCAGTTATTTTATAGACGGTTCTTTGTGATGGTTGTCCATGATTAGCTTCAGGTTATACATCCCGGCTGGAATTCCACAGCAGTGATATTGTGTCCTCCTTGGGGAATTAGATCTGAAATCTCACAGTATCCATCAGCAACTATGTTAATTTTAATCAGTGAAGATGATGTTTGATTTCTCCACTATATGGTTACTGTGTTTACCACTACAAGTAATAAGCAGTCTGTGTACAGACGCTTTGAGACCATGCAAATAATCTGCTCCATCATTAAACTTGGACCCCAAGATTTATGGATGGTTCTTAATGATTCTAGGCTAAACTAACCTTTATTTTGAGGGTTCACAGTAGGTGAGAGTCAACCTTTCTAAATTACCTTCTGAAAATTCATCTTGATTTTGGAAACATTTATTTACTTATTTAAGATTTTGAATTGTATGCATTGCATATAATAATTGGTAGTGTGTTTTAACTTAAAATGGTTTTTAAGCCTCTGGGTTTATTTTTAATCTTTTGCTGCCCTCTGCAGGAGTATGAATATAAATCTTTGGAGCAAGGTAAGTACTCCTTATATTGCAAATCATAAGGTGATGTATAAAAAGCTATTAAAAGCAAAAGTTATAATAGCTGTACACATTTATGATATATTATTATAAGTTAATGAATTTAGAATCTTGAAGTTGGTAGTTCTAAAACTGCCTTCCTGGAGCATGAAATTTATTATTGAAGCAATCCTTGACTTATTCCTAAATTCCTCATAAAGTTCTTAACTTTTCCAAAAGACAGCTGTTAAAGTAACAGTGACATTTGACCATACAAATTTAATGATTTAAAAAATACATACATGTATATATGTTTGTGTAAGTGTATTGTTATATGAATGATATACAGACTCATTTTAAACTGCTATTTTTTAAAAGAAGTGAGGGTTGTTTTGTTTTGTTTTGTTTTTGAACAAATGCTCCTTAATTGTCCTTTGAATCACCATTAACCGCAGCATGACTTTCATGGTGGAGTGAAGTGGGATATGGTTAATTTTGCCTAATTTTCTGTATTAGCAAATAAATAGTAGTAGAAGTAACTGTAGTTTGAGTTGTTAACACTTACAATATGTGCCAAGTGCTATTTTAAGAGCAAGTAGATTCAGTTCTAGGCTACACACAAAGTAGTTCATAACTCCTAATTCATGTCATTTTGGAAAACAGCAGTGTTTCCATTCTTATTATCTTCTGCTCAAGGATATAGCGGGGGTGCCAAAAAATATATACACATGACTTGTACTCATCTTTTGTCATAGGTATATATTGAGTATTACAATTTTAATACAGTATTTTCCTTTCTTAAAATGTGTATACATTTTATTGGCACCCTCTATATATATCGTCAAATACTGTGTTAAAAAGTTACAAGTCAGTACTACAAATTTTTAAATCATTTTCATCATAAAACACATATTTAGTTTTTTTAAATTAAAATTTTGCAGGCAGAATAAGTGTTGTGTATTCAATTGATAAGAATCCATAAGAACAAAACATTAGAACTTGGACCACTTTTGTTTTGTTGCCATTGCAATGACTGGAAAAAGATTGATGAAAAACCAAAAACAAAGAAAAGAAAAAGTTATTTAGTGGTCCAGGATATTTTACCTAATTATTTCTGTAATACTTTATTTAAAAGGGAGAAAACGGTCCAATTTCAACAAGACCAAAAACAATATGAGAAATAATATTGGTTGATAATGCCTAGAAGCTATTTCCTAGCTATAACAATTCATTTAAAACAATATACCAACAAATCATTAGTTTAGAGGCTTTCTTAGTGACATTTCATAGAATAGTGCAGTTTTCCTTCATGGGTGTGTTTTGTTTTTGTTTTTAAAAGACAAGCCTATTATATAAAAACGAAACAATCTCCTTGGCAGGTGGGGGTGGTGTTGAATTACTGTGATAAAGAATAATACCTTACTGGGGAGAGGCTTGATTATTTCAAGAATTCAATTTCAGATTGTATTTGTTCTTGTTTGCTTCTCTTGCTGCAACGCGTGGATTTTCTGTCTTACCAGATAACAGAACTGTTGTACAAGGATGGACGTTATTGCCAGGAGCCTCCAGGACCAACGGGTAGCGTTTCAATTTCGATGATTGTAACTTATCCACAAATCCATTCTTCTGTGTAATGATGGGCTAGAAGGATTACAGCAGTAAACATTTTCCTTTTGAAAGTGAAATTTGAAAACATTTGGTTATAAATCCTTATATTGACAGCCACAATATTTTGAGGTCTATGAGGTTTAGGGTTTTTTTTCATCATAATTGTTTTTTTAAAGACAGGGTTGGGAGGCTTTTTCTTTTTCAGGTGTTGTGGAAATGCTTCTTACAGCACCTATGGAAGTAGGCTTAAAAATCTGTAATCCGTAGTGTTTATGTAATTTTAATGTTTTGCAGGTGTAATTTTAAACATATAAAGTAGTAAAGAGGTCTTTTTTTTTCCCACTTAAATATAATTTATTACACTATTTGACAAAATGACTTTCATATAATGAAGCTTAGAATATATGGTTTTCTGAGGACGGCACCCTTCTTGAAAGTTCAGATTCTCTATCCTAGGTATTAACACATGGCCCTATACATTTTATGCTTGAATGCATAGGAAAATTACTGTTGTTACAAAACATTTTTGTTAATCTTAGTTTTTCATTGGCTAATAGGCAGCTCTCCACAGGATTACTGTATCTGCTTATTAAAATTATTTAACTTTCTATACTCAACATTTAATAATCCTTTCTAATTTTACATGTTTTGCTAAGTATTGCCCACAAAAAATTAGTATAGAAATGTGTACAAGGCATTTATTTATTCTCACTACTGTGATTTGGACAGGAAAGGGGTAAGGCCTTGGGCAGGACCACTTCTGTCAGAGAGTGGTGAAGAAAAATAGATTGAAGTAAGATTCAGTACTGAAAAGCTGTCACTCGGTCTGAAAATAATTAATATTCCTTTCACTCACCAGTTAGATATGTGCTCCCAAACCACATAATCTCTATGCCTCAGTGATCATTGTTGCCATTTCAGAGCCTCTCATCAGGGTGACATCTCACACCAAAATGATTTCTTATAAATTAATCTTGATAACATGACAGTCTCAGTAATTTTAGTGGAATGCTTTCTCTTGTTTTTTTCCACAGAAGCTGTTGGCTATTTTCTTTATAACTTGATTGACAGCATGAGTGACTCAGAGGTACAGGCCAAGGAGGAGCATTTGAGACAATACTTCCATCAGCTGAAGGAGATGGTACCATTTCATTTTTTGCTATATAATGCCTGTCCTGCCTGACATGTATCTATTAGATTTGAAATTGCTGCTTTTAAGTACAACCAGACCACTTCTCAATGACATACACGAGTTGGAGACTTAAATTATGTCTGAGATAATTTCTGTTAGACAAATTTCAGTTTGGTTGTCTAAAACTCAGGGGTTTTTTTCCCCTCCCTTTCCTTTGCACAGAATGTAAAAATTTCTGAAAATATCTACAGAGGCATTCGTAATCTACTGGATAGCTACCACGTTCCTGAATTGATTAAGGTGTGTGAGAAATAGTGATCAACTTTTTAAAATGCTTAATTTATATATAAAAGCATGTTAAAATTTTATTTAAATATGCTTAGGCTAAAATAAGTTAATTTAAATAAATAATTAAAACAAGGCTTTTTCATTGATTGTTGGTAAATACTGTTTATATATTGAAGAATGCATTTAAAACATTTATTATAGTGGTTAATAAAGTATAAACAGAATTTCTGAAAATTTTGGAAAGATGGAAAAATAGCAGTAAAACGAGACACAACTTTCAAAATTTGCTCTTGACATTTGCTAATATAGTTTTCCGTGTGTTTTCTAATTCTAATTTAAATCCCAATTTTAGGATGTTAATATGTTGGTTGAAAGAGAGAAGACAGACTCTCGAAAAGTAAGTAGATTTTTGAGTAGATCCTACATGCTATGATAACCAAACTTAATAAGAATTACACATTGTGTCTTTATAAAAATCAGTGGTTCCTAACATTTTGCCACCAGTATACCTCTAAGAAGCCGGTAAAAGCTATTCTCTATCTCAGAAAAATCAACATATCTGAAAAATTTGCATATAATCTCACGAGTTTCATAAACCCCTAGAGTCCATCCAAGGATCACCAGATTAATATCCTTGATAGCATTTATGACATTTAAGAAAGGTCGGTTTAAAGGGAAGAGAGACAAATGGGTACATTTTCTTTTTGTAGTTAATTTCTTGCCTTTTTTCTTTTCATTTCTGTAAACTACGCAGCTTACATCATCTGATTTGGAGTCAACACTTGAAAAACTAAAAGCTGAAAATCAACCTATTAGAGATGTCCTAAAGCAGCTCATATTAACGCTTTGTTCAGAAGAGGTAACATTTATTTAAGTATTTCAAATATGTTATTAAGGTAAAAAATTCTTTATAGATAAATGTAAGCAAAGCCAAATATAATATTTATGATTTTTGCAATTGATTATTATATGTCATGCCTGTGAAGAATGCAATTAAATGAAAGGTTAACTAATTTCTGCTACACCTTGAATGGCATGTTTTCGGGTAGCTGTAGTTTGTTTACAATAATCTGCAAAGTGAATGATAGGAACAGCTGTGATAGGTTTATCATACATGCCAAATGTCCTTTCAAGCCATGGCTCCGGTCTCTTATATCTAGATTGTCAAGCAACTGATACATGCAGTAGTCATTTGCAAGTCAAATATTACTAGGTTGTTAATGCAGGGATTGAAATTCCATTTTCCTGCTGGAAAAAAGCTCTTTCTGAGATAAAGGGTCTCTTGCCTTTTTTCAGCAGGCGTCCAGCTGTACTTTGTGTTTATTTTAGTGTGCGTCTGCAATTTGTGGCATGTCACTAGACTTTTTCAGTTTCTAGTTCAATATGATTTAGTCTTATGCCTGTGATTTTAGGGAAGAAAATATAACTGACTTTAAGATTATAACATGGTACTGTTAAATTCTAAAACATTACTTCACATTACTTGGATATTAAACTAGACTGTGAGAAACTTTGCAATGATATATATTTGTGTGTATGGAAATTGGACTGTGAGTAGGGACTGACTTGGTACGTATTTAACCTGGAAGTCTTTTTTATAACACAGTACCAAAGCTAAAACATGAAATTTGGCATAGTCGCCTGTTCTGCATTCCAGATAACAAACTTTTTAAACCCTGCCTGTGTTATCTTGCCTGCTTTTTGAAAGGTGAATAAAAGTATCAAGGAACAAGGTGAAATTAATAACATGAATCCATTTATTTCTAAAGTACTCTTAACTTTTTCTACACTTTGAACATTGAAACTGGAAATTTTACATCTTATATTTACTTTTCTTTTTCACTTCTGTTCTTTATTTTAGAACATGCAAAAAGCTCTTGAATTGAAAGCAAAATATGAATCGGACATGGCTGTTGGTGGCTATGCAGCTTTAATAAATTTGTGCTGTCGACATGATAATGCAGAAGATGCATTGAACCTAAAACAAGAATTGTGAGTACTTTGGCACTGAAACAAATCGTCGACATTAGTGTTGCTATGCAGTCCTTGATCATGATTGAACATTACTCTCTTTTATAACGTAATTTTAAAAAATTCTTTTTTGTCAGTGTTTTTGAAATTTCATAATATGGAACTCTGATTAATTATGCTTGCTTTCAGCAGAGTCTATAAGTATAAGATATTCTATTCTTTAAAGCCAAGGGTTTTTTTTCCCATTGATTACACAACTGCGTATCACAGCAGGGGTGATGGTAAATAACTAAGGCTTGTTAAACAGTCTTTTTTTCTGGACTGTAGTGTACAAAATTCTCTCCATTTCTCAGGTATCTTTGTTTTTCCAATTTCGATAGATTTATCAAATAAAAATACATCTCTTTGGGTATTTCAGTGTTCTTGACAAAGTTAGAATCACCCAAAGTGCCATGAAAAGAGAATTCCTTAATGCATATCATTTGCAGATGGAGTGATGCAATTTGTATGTAGTGTTAGAGTTTTACTTCTTTTGTCACTTTGCGTATAATTACATGTGAATTTGTATGTGGCTTCAAAATAAACCTTAACTGAAATATAGAGGCCAATGTTAATAACAATTCAGACCATCTGATGGGTTTTGAAAAGTGATAAAATGGATATTGCATTTCTTTTGGCAGTTAATTGACTTGTAACATATTATAAATGTGCTTTAATTTTTAGTGACCGTTTAGATTCATCTGCTGTCCTTGACACCAACAAGTATGTGGGCCTTGTAAAAGTATTGGGAAAACATGGCAAGCTCCAAGGTAAGCCTGGGCATAAAAGGAACTATGTCATACAAGTATCTTGCCACTGGAATAACATGTGAATTGATATTAATGGTATATCATGTCCTGCAAAGTGCTTGAACACTTTGCATACAAATTTGCATGTGAATCCAACCAGAGCTGCATGGACAGTGTAGGCCATTAGTTTTAATGGATTGGCAAGCTTGTCATTTACATTTGCACAGCTCAGTGCCTTTTGCATTTCTGCAGCTAGTTTTTATTAGCATTGCTTTTTGGATTGAGTTTGAAGATCATGACTTATGGCACAATTTGCTTATATGCCTGCACTAATGGCTTTGTTTTTGCTTAAGGATGTCTGAAAGCTGAACATAAAACCTATACACATAACCTTTATTTAAGAATGTGAATTTTGCGGTAGTCATTGTCTTAACTTTTAATAACATTAACAAAATGTATACTTTAACAAGTTTTATTTAGGAGTTCGCAGCGAAAGCCTAGATGATTATATAGCTGATACACATATTCTCATTTTCTCATTGAGATAATGCTGAGCCTTATGTAATTAATTACACTTGGTAATGTATTCTTACTGTTCACTTGTTTCTAAACTTCCTTATTTGGGTTTTATTTTGAAATTTCCTTTTTAGCCTTCTGTCTTCCTTTTATTCTAGAGAAGATTTTAAAAAATATTTTATAGTGAAAAATGTCTGGATAGAGTATTTGATTTTTAACATTGAAGTTTTTCCTAGGAAGTATATCTAACACAGAAAACTCTTTATAAGGATTATCCTGCTTTTATAAAATCACTTTTTGTAAAGCGGTCAAAACATTTTGCCTGTGCCATAATTAAGAACAACATTATAAAAATGCACTTATTCCATATCCTAAAATGTTTGTTTCTGCCTTCCTAATGAAGCTTAATGAAGCTAATGTATTAACATGCAGCCTTTTGGAAAGCTTTCATTGGCTCTGCTTGGCTAATTAGTATCGACATAGCAAACAGGCCCTATCGGTATCAGACCATTAGTCTGGCTGTATATACAGTGTAAACACATCTTTATTATCTGGCTTCCTGACAAGCCATCTGCTGAAGAAACAATGGTGTGATTTAGCAGATGTTAGCTCTGAACGATAAAAGCATCCATTTAGGAGGATCTTACAGCTATAGGGCAGACCGTACAGGGTTATGTGGAGCAGAGTGGGCACACAGTCCCTATCTATAATTTGTAGTCAAAGTTGCAGGGAAATGATAAAACCATGCTATTGTGGATTTATAATTGTAGTCTCGTTTAGACATGCAAGTAGTAATTAACTTGAAATCGGCATTATACACTAGAATTTACATTCCTGCTGGGCTTGAAATGCTGTTTTAATAGCAGTTTGTTTTCCCTACATGAAATTACCTAAGGGTCTTTTGTGTTCCTTCGTTGTAGATGCTATTAACATTCTAAAGGAAATGAAAGAGAAGGATGTCCTTATCAAAGATGCAACAGTCTTGTCCTTTTTTCACATCCTAAATGGCGCAGCTTTAAGAGGTGAAACTGAAACAGTAAAACAGTTGCATGAAGCCATCGTGACTCTAGGGTTAACGAAACCATCCACCGCCATAAGTTCCCCATTGGTCACTTTGTATCTGGAAAAGTAAGTTAATTGAATTTAAAATTTTAAATGTTGGCATTAAAAAAATGTGCCTAATCATTTGGTGGTAACACTTGGTAAATACTGTGTGGTGCTGTGAAAGCCTCGAAGGTTGCCATGTGTAGAGACTTCTATGGACCAGGTGACCTTTAAAATCAGCAGCAGCCCTGGGGTTGGGCGGGTTAGTTCTCGGTGGGATGGCCTGTGGTGACTGTTTTGTGGGGCCTGTGATGATACTGTATGACACTGAATCTAGTTTTTCCCGGTTTGGAGCCTTAGAAGTGCTAATTATTAATAAGTATAACAAAGGATTCTCCGGGGCTTTTGAGTCTGTATCCTGCCTGTTACTCAGGTAACAATGCAGCGGTATCTCTTCAGTGCTCCTTTTATCCATGTGGGATTTTATTTTCATCGCATGTACCAGTACAGGTTTTCTAGCTCTGATAAATGCTGTACAAGGTGTCTCTGTGCCTTGTGGGAAGAAGATGAATTTTGTTGATGGAGATTTACTCAGTTTGAAAATCTTTCCATTTGAAATGCTCACGTTGGTGCTCAATTTAAGGTATAATTTGCAATGCAAATCATAAAATCAACCTACTCCTGTGATGAATGAAACATTTTAGTAAGATGATTAACAACCGCCCTTTATTTTCTTTTTCTTTTGTGTTTGTTTTTCTTTTTAATTTCCTAGATCTTTCCTCTTTGTCATCTTTTCCATGACTCAATGCAGTTTTTAATCTGCTTATTTCATGATTGGGGTTTTCTGGTTTTAGTATAGATGTTGTCCTATCAATTCCAGGAGAGAAATAACAGATATGTCTTAACGGTTTGCATGTTTCCTCCAAATGTCTGGTAGTTTTTCTTTATATGTTAGAGGGGGATACGGTAATTAATTGAATATAATGAATGGTTTAGTATTGAATTTAAAAGGTAGAATAAAAAACATCTCTTTTAACTAGCTCTATGTTAGGAAATGTGGGTATACATACATACACATACATTATTTATGAAATAATCCCTTTGCCATCCAATCAAAAAACAGTTTATCAGGTTAGATGATTGGCCAGATCTTAACCTCTACAGTCTCAGCATTATATCCTTTTAAAGAACTAGTGATTCAAACAATTACTATGTTATAGAGTTCTCATGTTCACAGCCAACTTTATATAGAAATCCTATAATTAATATGCTTCCTACTAGAATTTTTTGATTGTTTAAAAGACCCATCTCTGCAGATTGCATGTGGAGCTCTGCATAGGGATTTGAAAGAATGGGCCCAGTGCCCAGAAGAATTAGGCCCTCCTCCACTACTGGGCAAAAATAAAATAATTAACAATGAAAATGAGGCCATGGTAGAAAAATACCTTACAAATAGAAATACTTTGAAGACAGAGGAGACACAAAAGTTTTCCAAAAGAGGTCTGCAGATGGGGCTCATGAACCAAGGAGAGCTTATCCAAGGGAACAAGGAAATAGCATGGGCTTCCTGAGTTAACTTGGGGCGTGCTCTGTGCTTTTGATTATACAGACAGTCAGATTGGTATGTTTCAGTAAAATCTGACTGTCCCTGTTAATTGTGCGAGAGAAATCTATTAATGTCTTTTCTTGTATGATTTCTTACTACTTTCAGATACATAAATTATTACCTTTTATTTTTATTTGCCTAGGTTTTTTTTTTTGTTATCTTTGTTTTGCAGAGGCAGTCTCCATGACAAAATCTTTTCAGTTTCATCTATCATAATAAAAAGCTCTTGTTGACTGTTTTAGAGTCATGAGAATAATAAAAAGGAGACAAAGGAAATTTCATGTTTATAAAATTGCAGAAAACAGTAGGAGCACTCCTAGTCTGGGATAAGTTGGAGGGAAAAATTGACTTGGAAACTTTTTTCCAGTTGTGTTTTCCCCATCTGATGGAAGATAGCTAATTAATTCAGAATCATGACAAGAGCACTGCTGGGATTATCTACACTAGCCTGCCAAAAAGTCCACATGTATTTGGTTTGATTAAATATGTTTAATCTTCAATAATAATCATATCATTGACCTCAGCAGGTATGAGCTCATCTGGAGAATGAGCCTTATTTACTCAAACTTGAGATAAAATTATGAAAAACATTTCAGAACATCATAGAAAATCTTCATCCTTTCATTCAAAGGCGAGCATCTTTTTTGGAATGTCATTGCAAAGACTAAAGAAGCTATCACTTCCATATTGTAATTCTGAACCAGATTCATGAGGTTGAGTTTCTTAGAAAGATGATCTTTAAGATTCAATAGATTTTAATTTTGAGCTGACATTTCCAGTATTAGATAAAACACAGGAGAAATTACCACTGTCAGTTTGTTACTTGGATAATGTATAAAAAGCTTTATGGGTATAGAGAATAATACCTTTTATTTTTATTAATTTGCCAAAATAGCAACAGGTTTGCCAAATTATAAACAAGTTGGTAAAATAATCTACTTCTGTATTATCAAAATGATAATACTTGCATTGAACAGAAAAATATGAAGTTGAACAAAATTTTCATGTGTCCCATTTACATTAGGATTTTTCTGTAAACCACGTGTGTACATGGAGTCCAAATGAATGTTATTTTAAACATTTTCTTTTGTAGCTACTTAAAAATTTTTTTTAATTGAAACCATGCCTGATTCTGAAGATGGCCTGGATTCTCCATGTTAAGGAAGAAAGAAATGCTTTGTAATGGGTTAAAAGAGCTTTTGATTAGTCTTTATGCTATGGTAAAGGAAATGAAATTAATAAAACCTGGGCCATTTGGTTTAAAGACATAAGAATTTGTATGATGCAGTTTCAGATTCACTTGTTTTGTAGCTGATCTATTTTAGTTTCATTGCATGTGAAAAATATCTCAAGCTCTTTAACTGGATTATTTAGTACAACTGATCAAAGAAGCTTTAATTTTTGCCTTCCATTAAGAATTTTTCTGTGCTGACTTGTGCTGTAATCTGTATATGCCCACATGCATTTCATTTAAAAGAATCATGGGCTTTTTAATATGGAATCCTCCGAGAACTCTTGCTAAGTCAATCTTGAGTTCTTCGTAAAGGTCACAGTTTCTACAAGATGAACCTATAACAATACAAGTTTTAAAACTCACTGTAACACATTACTATGTTACATAAATGGGAAATATACTTTATTAAATGCTGGTTATTCTGTCATATACACTCCCCTTCAATTTTAGCATCTTCATTTGTACTGGATACTTTTATTATTTATGGGAATGCTTGCCTTCTAGAGTAAAAACTCTTTATGTGCTGAAAGGAAATTAGGAGGTTTGGCTCTTTTATGCCATTATTGCAATTAAGACTTTAGCATCATCAGTGCCAAAGGACAAAAGTGGTTCATTTGCCCTAGGGGGACAGGACAGTGATAAGATGATTTTTCGTCAAGGATCATTGGGTCGTAATTAAGTTACAATCATGGCTATTGCTTTTTGAAGGATGATTGGTAAATGACAGGCTTCATGTGCTTAGTGGGGACAGTGTTCGGTAGGGTTTTTTTCTCCCTCTGTCAGAAAATCCTGTTGAGCCTGATAATGTAAATGTGGCATTTTATTCTGAACAAAAGAGCAGGGAAATGAGCTATCTTGTCTAATCATTCAGTTGTTTAACACCGACTTCCAGTTTAGACTCAATTGGCTGGAAAGCACTTGACATGTGAAGTTAGTGCTGTTCCGAACGCATGTTTGAGTAAATTTTAAAGTAAGTGACAGCTAAATTGTACCTAGGGAAATTACAAAGCCTTCAACACAGTTAATTTTTTGGGGAGGATTAGTTGTAATTGCAACACCAGTCTCCTTGAAGATTCCTCATTTATAGATGATGAACAGTAGAAAAAAAAAAAAAAGAAACATTTAGCTCTTTCAAGGGCTGGTTCTCTTAGCAGAATAATTTTTGTGAAGACGATGGTTTCTCCTGAATTGATTTCTCTCCATACTGAACATCCGCTTAAGATTTATAGAATAGTTTGATTTTGAGTGTTTTTTTCCCCCCTCTTGTTTTAAACTTTTTTCTCCCCCAAGTCCCTCTTTAGTGATTTTAGATTTTGAAAGCTTTTCAGTCAGTAAGCCCTTTAGGTAAATTGCTACTGCTCTGACACCTTATGCATAATGTTGAAGCACTTTATTCCAATTAAAAATCAATATTTGTCTTTTTTTGTTTAAATTAATATACTCTGCATTGGAAAGTTATTTGCTGTAAGGAGACTAAGTTTCAAGCTACTGATAGGTGAACAGATGGCTGTCACTGGTGGTTCTTGTTCAAGATCATGTGAAACACATTTGTGATTTTTACAGTTTTATGTGGTGAAGAATTTGGGTAGGAGTGCTTTGTTTCCTGGTACCTTTAAGTAGATAGTTTTATGATCAGTAAATGCCTCATATGAATGTATGTCCAATGTTTCTTTTTCTAGCGGGGATATTATAGCATACTTTAATTTCATAATGACTAAAATAAGAGGTAACATCAGATTTGACATGAGGTTCAAGTTTACCATTCTGGGTATTCCTCTGTGTAATAATGCAAAAATAAGTTTGTAGTAGTTTTGTATATGGTCATGTTCCTTTAAAAAAGTGAACTAGAGATTTTTAGAATGAATTTTAATATGGGCCAAGTGAGTCCATTCAGGTTAATAAATAAAACTCTTAAACACTTAAAAGAGGTTCAAATTACTTACTGGACTCAGCCTTTTATAAATACGGGTGATTTTAAAATTTGGAATTATAGAATCTTCCTTTCCTCTGTCCTGCCTTTATTTCACAGGCTTACAGAATTTAGATAAAGCTTATATTAAGTTAATTTGTATCAATGAAAACATTTTTTAAATAGCTGGCTACTTTACATATATTAGCATATATAGTTTTATTCATGAAAATAACTTTATGTGTTTCACTGAAATATTTTTTGGGGGTGCCTAGTCATTGAAAATATCACTGGGTTTTTTTTTAGAGATAATAGTGTGTTGTAGAGTTGATTTTCTTTTAGTTTTATTTGAAGTTTGTGAAAGCAGTGGCTAAGTTTTTATCAGGAATGGACTTTTAAAAATTTGACTCATTTGCATATAAAGCTTTAGAAATTGCATGCGTATACACTGAAAAAAGGCATGGAATCAAGGTTTTGAATCCAGAATTAATGTCATCCATAAGATTTCTTCATAAGATTATTGTGATTTTGTAGGATTTTAAATCATTTTTAATGTTTTAAAGTGTACAAAGGAAATCACAGAACCATGTTAGGTCACAGAAACCAGAAGTGTACTGATTGGTAGTGTTATATCTCACATTTTGGGTATAAAGCAGTTTCTACCCTTTTTCCTTTTGATATTTTGCTACTCTTACTGACTTCATCCTGCCTAATACAAGTGGTATTTTTGCATGATGATTTTCTGTGCTGGTATGAAACATTTGAGTTGATGAACCTAATAAGCTCGAATTCATACGGCCTCACATTAGAGTATTAGAACTGGGAGGGAATCCCAAGGTCCTTGAGTTCACCCATTGTGATAATCTGCTTCTGATCACCACTTCTAGAAATGTATCACATTGCTGTAGCTGAGCTGCATTTAACACTTATCAATAAGATTGAAATTCGAAAGTCCTATGACTGTATAACTATTTTCCTAGCAATGTGAATCTTAGATACTTTTTCATATTTTTCATTTCCATCGTCCAAATTTCCAGGCTTTAATAGGAAGGATTAATGATGACATCAAATTATATGAGGAATGGACATTTTTATCTCTTTTTGAAGTGACATGATCCAACCATAGAATGTAGATAATAGGGATTGAAAAGTACGGACAAGTCATTAGTTCATTTCTATCATCTGTGCACATTGCATGAAATGTTTCATTATAGATTTCTAATTCATTTTGTTGGCCACCTGACAGCAGCCACATTACATTGGTACTTAAAATTACTAACAAATATATGACTTATTTCCATTTTGCTATTCTTGTCTTTTCTGTTGTTGTTCTGAGCATGTATAATCTTCAGAAGCATATATTTGGAGACCAAAGACTATTAACATGTCTCTTTGATTGACAGAACAATTATTCATTCATTTATTGATAGCTTTGACCTAATGCAGAGGAAATACAATTGAGACATTACTATTCTAGTTTGGGAATTGATCTGAAAAGCAAATCATGCCGCTTTTAAAAAAAATCAGTTTGCGTTATTTCTTCTTTTAAAAATATTTTAGTAGTTTTCCATTAAGTGGAATTGTAGAAAGGGAATAACTGAACTTGTGTCTGAAGCAAGGGAAAATACTGATTATATAAAGCTTTATATCATATGTGGTAGCTACTGTAGCATTTCTCTTGTATGACAGTAATCTAGCCTGCAACATCTACTTGCGGTTTTGAAATTAACCTGTAATTTAGTCTTCACCCCAAATGACAAAAATTCAAATGACTCTGTGGGGTGCCAGAAGATGCACCGTAAACAGGGCTCAGTAAAGGGGGTACAGTCGAGTTCCATCAGGATGGGTTCGCTTTCACTGTGTCAGTATTATTGCAGTAAAATTAACACTTCCTCATGGTATTTTACATTTTTAGTACAGCTTAAAAATCTTAATCTAGATAAAATAGTCATTCAATCTAGGGCAACATAACATTTGTATAATGGACCAAAATGTTAGGGCTTCAACAGAAAATTTAAAAAAGCTTTCTTCCTTTGGAAAACTGTTGCATGCATGAGAGAAATGTGTTTTCTCCACAAAGATTGTCACTGTCGCTAGTATTTTGGTCTGTGTCTCTAACTGTGCCTCCTTTTTTTTTTTTAATATGCATGTCATACTTTCTTTTCAAAAATCTTCAATTTCTTATTCCACTATTACACCACCTTATTAGGTTAAATAAACAACAGTGCTTTTACTAGAGCGTAATGTATAATAAGATATATTCCACGGAAAGTGGGAAGTTCAGGGACCTGATGGCAGTGCCTTCCTCTGTTTACCTAGTAGTGATGAGTCAGTCTCTAGATGCCTTAATTTCCTCATCTATTTAAAAATAAAGGAGGGTGGTGACAAGTAGAATTGGGTCACGTAATCTCTACAGCTTTTCCCAAGGTCTTAAGTGTTTCTCATACTGTCATTTTCCTTTTAAAAGAAAACGTAGTTTTTGAGGATCCCTGAGAATGTATTTCCGCACTCTTGTTTAAGAAACTAACTGACATAATGGAAAATATCTTTTTTACTTTAATTTATTACCACATAAGAGAAGCCTTGACTTTATGATTGGAAATAAGTTTGAAAAGCCTAATCTCTAATGAAAAACTTTTTGAGAGTTCCCCTAGAGTTCAATGACCATAAAAATATCCCCGTTTTAGCGACAATAAATTTTCTGTGCATATGAATTCCTGAAATTATTTTCAGCTTATTTGGAAAATTCCTTGGTAGCTGTTTTTGAACATTTAATAAAATTTACCAAATTTAGAATTATTGAAGACCATAAACACATAAATAATTGGAAAAATCTCATTAATAGTGGAAATAATGCATTCTGAGAGCAACTTTTTTTTTATAACATCAGATTTTATTTATAATAATCTCGGGGAATGCCTTCATCTATTTAAACTTTTTACAAACGTGCCATTTAGCAAGCAAAACAATAAAAGATGAAGCAGGGAAAACGGAACTGCTAATGTACTCTGAACATTTATATATAAGGATTGTTTCTCTCTCTTTTTTTTTTTTTTTCCATTTTGCTTTGTGGTTTTCTACCTTAAAGCTCAGTCACGTACATTTTGACTGGTCATTGTACATCTCTCTAAAATAAATTAGATATATTTAATTCATTGTTGATATTTTTATGTTTCCTAGGGACGATTTACCTGCTGCTCTTGACGCCGCCTTTGACTGCTATGAAAAGTATAAAATATTACCGAGGATTCATGATGTCTTATGTAAGCTGATAGAGAAAGGCGAGACTGATCTAATTCAGAAAGGTTAGTCACCGTCTAATGTTTGATGTACTTGGGGTTTTCTTCACCCCGTTACTTATTTAATCTTAAAAGCATTGCTGTGAAGAGAAAATTTAACAGAAGGCAAGCACATCCAGAGAAACTTTGTTACACTTCTAAGTTGAAAAGAAAACTATCAGGTAGATTTTCAGTATTATCAATGTCTCTGATTTTAATAACTTCATTTTGAAAAGTTGCTCCTCTGTTACTTTTTGGTGATCTGAGTTTATAAGAAATGTTTTACCCTTATTCTCACCAGTTCTCTTTGAAGCTGGTCTTAGGTACTTAATGTCATAGATGTATGCTGTTAAATAAGGCATGTGGCAGAAATTGGTTGACATAACTATAATCTTCAAGTTATTCTAAATATGTTTTAAAGTTTCCTTGTGTTTTTGCAGAACTCCAAGTGATTTTGTGTTTCTCTGCGTATGTTCTTCTTTCCTCTCTAGCAATGGACTTTGTGAGCCAAGAGCAAGGTGAAATGACAATGCTCTATGATCTCTTCTTTGCCTTCCTACAAACAGGAAATTACAAAGAGGCCAAGAAGATCATTGAGGTGCGATTTTAACTACAGTATTCTAATTGTACAGCTATTTAGACTCTTAATTAGAATATGTTTAAAAATTTTAACCTTTAATTAGACTTGTTCTGCTTCATGTTAATATAATTCAATCCTAATAATGGAGCGGGTTGGTGGGGGAGGCGGGGGGGGAACTGGGCCAGCTTCTTTATTGTATATAATTACAGTTCAGAAAAAGCAGCCTGGTTGTATATTGAATTTGTTTCCTCACTTTGTTAAATTCACTGTTATATATCAAAATGATATTTGCATAAATCTTGGATTGTGGAACAATTAAATTAAACTGGCATTCCTGGGTGTAAAGTTGCTAATCCTCTTTGCCAAGGAATTCTTTGTTCTTAAAAGCAATGGAATTTAATTTGCTGCAGACCCTGCTCAGATTTATTTGTAATGCTTGTCTACAAGTTAATCAGCCAAACAAGTGCTGTCTGCAACTGTTTGGCATTTAATTTAAAATGTCGTCTTCTTCTCGTTTTTTTTTTTTTAACTTTGGTAAGCAGCTTACAGGAAATGGTAGGTGACAAACCTGGCTTATTTAGGATTAGTATATTTTATCTAGGCCTGATTGAAATTTTGTTTACTAAGATTGATAAGTCAGAGGACAACTATAAAGTCTGTTCAGATTGTGACTAATTTCACTATGAAACAATTCATATCCCCTAAAAAACAACATTCCCCAGAAGATGGACCCATCACCTTAAGAAAAAATGTTTAATGTGATTAAAATAAATTTGTAGATATATCAGTAATCATGTTTCTCTCAGATCCTACTTTGCCATTATTCTGTGTCTATTTCCAAAAGTGCCATGGTGGATGGCACACAGAGGTAGTGTTTAGCCTTCTTGTTTGTGTATTGGCTATGTATCATGAAAGTGAAAATACAGGCACACAACCCAGAATACCATTAGTTTCTCTTGATGTTTTGCAAAGAAGAGAAAAGCCTAGTATGGGAAAGAAGGACTTGTGAAATTAATTCAGAACTTTCTTCTCCTTTGATCTGTCTTATAACCTCCTGTCAGAAGGAAGTGGGGCATGCTTTCTTAGACAGGTGTTTCTGTAGCTCAGGGAGTTCATTTGTATTTTCTAGAAAAGGGTATAAATTCTTTCATTGTAAGGGTAGTCTATCTGAAAATGTGAGGGGAGCTGCCTGCCTGTTGAGTCCTGCTGCTCTGTATGCCTGTATCAGTGTTAGCAGGGCACTGATCAGAGTAGAAATGAAACTCAGGTATTCAGATAATAGCGATGAGAGGTTCTACAGTAGGCAGTCATCGTGTGCCTCTCTTTATGTAACAAGCAAGACAAAATAGGAAGAACCAAAGACATAAGAACGACTTCTCCTTTTGCCATCTACTTGCCAGTGCGACAGTGGACAAGTTACTAAACCTTTTTATGCTGCCTCATCTGTAAAAGGAAAGATGGTATCTTTTTTAAAGACTCAATCACATAATGTATGTAAAGCAGCTTGCATGTTTCCTGGATTATGGTAGTAATCAATAATATTAATTCCCCCTGCCTCTTAAAGGCAGGGATTGTGTTGTCCTCTTTACCCCACATAATTCACAATATGATGCTTAGCGTAAGATACATGCTTGTCACATGAATAGGCAGGAGAACCTTACGTCTTAATTACGCTGAAGCTTTACCAACTTATAGCATCATTCATTTAGGAATGGCTGTCTACTGATGACAGAATTTTCATAGCGGATGTGTACAAAATTGCTTAAAGAATAAAGAATAGCTTTACAGCATCCCTGCAGTACCCTAGAGTAAGACAGCAGGGTGTAATATATGAGAACGTTTTCAGTTGCTTTTTTTTTTCGTGGTCAGTTGGAGTTGAATTAAAGTTGGGAACTTGCTTTTTTCACAATTAAAATTCAAGATGTAGAGTTCTCTCTTACAGCTTTGTAAGGATTATTGTAAATATAAAAAGTAATGAAAATTAACTAGGATTGTATCAGCATATGAAAAATGATGATAAACACTGAGCAACATTTTTGTCACTCCCCAAATGCACTGTGTCTTATCAATGAGTAGATTCACTAGGGTTGAATTTCCAAAGCAAAATATATAACGAAGCTTCTTTGTATTTGAAGCACTATGGGAGATAAGAAACCAGTCATTAAAATGCTCCCTTTAAAAGAGGAAAGATGAGGCAAGATTCCGTGTATAGTATGACCTGTGTTGTTTTTCAAATGAGTTGGCATACATATATCATGTATATATGTAATACATTTTAACATAACCTTATGTTTTATTTCTACATATAGATTATTGCAGGAGGGTGGAATTATAGCTTGTGTTTTGCTTTATACTTTTCTGTATTTTCTGAGTTTTCTATAATGAGAGTACATATTCTTATACTCAGAAAAAATATTATTTTCTTCCAAAAGAGAGGGAAAGAGAAAAGTAAATTAGACCAAGATGAATCCCAAAGGAACTAATGTGAAGCTTGAAATTGAGATTAATATGTGAAGAAAACTGCTATATAAGACTGAGAAGTGTTAACTGCGATACGAAAAGTATAAATAGTTCTGAGAATTCAAGAGTAGAACTTACCCTCAGTGTAGGAAATTAGGGAAGACTTTGTGGAGGAAATAGGATATGAGGTGGAGGATGATGGATGTGGTAGTACTTTAACGTCTGTAAGTTTGATGGGAAGTGTATTAGAAGTATGGGATGTAGAGCAAAGAAATAAAAAGGGGGGAAATTGCTAATTAGTGCTTATTTTTACCTTAGCTTTATTGAGATGTAATTTACATTTATCATTGTAACCCAGGTGGAAACAAACATGCCGGTTTTTTTATTACAATAATTATTGTATCCTTCCTGTCCATTAAGTAGGTTGTAAATAGCAAAAACAAAAAGTGAGTCTGTTGGTTTGTTTTAATTAAGCATTAACTGGTTTTTGATAAGTTATATTCAACATCCCAGTTAGAACTCTGTCCTCCTTTGTGTTTTTGTTACATTTTCTATTTTTGCTTTCAACTTGCAATGCTTAAAATTCAGTAAGATGTTAAGAGATAAGCCAAACATGTAGACTATTACAAAAGCCTAGGAGATTTAGTTAATCTGACCTAGATGTTCTTTTGAGGATTGAGATTTATATGTGAAAACAGTTCTCAATTTCAAAATGAAACATTGGAATATCTGCCGTATAAGTCAGCTGTCTGCCAGTGACAGAGATTAATCAGCCACAAAAAGGAAGAGTTGGCTGTAAAAGTTGTGCTATTTAGATCATTGGCATTTGGATCAGCAATAATATTGAAAGTTGTAAGTAGATGTAGCCCTTTCATTTTGCCATGTTCTAAAGAGGATTATTGAGTTTTTTCTCAAGGGCTTTTTGTATACAGTTGATGTTGGTTTCATTTTCAATGTAATATATGTTGTGAAACAAAACAGATACGATGAGAAAACCCTTGAATAGAAATTATGTGACATGTAAATATTAATGATTTTTAAGAATATATTTCAAAAATTAATTTCTTCAACAATTATTTCTTGTATCCCAAAATGTAGATATTTGCACAGTTAGAATGAGAACACTTATATAACTTGTACTGTACCAATATTTCTGTCATTCTACCAAAGCTCTGAGATGTTAGTTTCTGCTTCAGTTCCTAATTTAACGTTGTACAATATTATTTTAAGAAATAAAAAATAACGAGGACTTATTTATAAATAAGAGATTAGATTTGATGGGTATCTGGTTTAGTCAACAAACCTGAGAGGCAAAAGCAGTAAAAAGTGGCAAAAGCAGTAAAAAGGTACCTTCTGTAGACTGGAGCAGCCAAGGCTAATGAGTATGTAGTTTTCTTCTCACGTTGCTGTGATTGAAATGTATTTAATGGTGAGGCCTTCTTACAGATGGTGAAAATACTATAGTTACAGTGACAAATCTTCCCAATTACATGTAAAATGGTTTGTCTTTAATTCCAGTACCTAAAATTGTAAAATATAATAATTGCTCTAAGCCAGAGTTATTGATTAAACTTTAGTAATTTCTAGTTGAGGCTATAACATATGTCTTCATTATTGAAATAAACTAAGACTAAACTAATTTTAAGTACTTAGCTTGATTTAAGTACTTAGCTCTTTAGACATTTTGTTTTGGATACTACGCAAGCATTTGTGGTAGTCAGAAGACTTTTAATCACTGAATTTTACAAAGCATGTTTCTTTTTTTAAAGAGCCATTGGTTTGTTGGTGTGATAGTTGTTAATAAGCTTGTGTAACATATTAATAATGTTTGCTTCCTGAATCTGCTGGGAGGGATCTCTGAAGTGTGTGTGTGTGTGTGTGTGTGTGTGTGTGTGTGTGTGTGTGTGTGTGTGTGTGTGTGTGTGTGTGTAACATATTTTGGAGTTGATTTGGTTCATCATTTCAAGGTTTCGTTTTGAACTAAAGGAAGTTTAACCATTTTTATAATTAAAGCTTTATGGAATGAAAATTGGTCTGCAAAGCAACATTTTGAAATAACCCGAATCTCTAGACACAGGTTAAGTATAGGTTGTGTTTTATGCTGTGTTCTAATCCTAAAGATCTTTGATAACTGGGTTGAAGTTATAGGTTTCTTGTAGTCTCCATGTTCGGGAAGGAGGCAGCAAATTCATTAGGAGGAAAACTATTTGCCTTTAAGGGGAAATTAACAGCTAAAGCCTTACCTTTGTGTGCTGTATGATTTTATTTTACAGACTCCAGGCATTAGAGCTCGACCGACAAGACTTCAGTGGTTTTGTGATAGATGCATTTCAAGTAATCAGGTTTGTGTTTAATTTCTGGTCTCATGTACCTAAAACTGAGTAGAAAGCAAGTGTCCTACACATCATAGGACCATTTGGGGATTTCAGGAGATACAGCATCATGAGTGGAAGCAGTGTTATCTTGGTTGTTTTCCAGATAAGCTATAGTTTAATTCTTGTTTCTGAGGTGCAGTAGTTGAAAATTCTGAATTGAGCTCTGAAGGTTTTAGCTTGCTTTATTTATCCTATTGGTTGGCCTGAGCAGGCTAACCTTATTTCCTTGGCCATTTAAATCTGCTTCAGTCCTTAGTGAGCAGAGGAATTGCTGTATGGGGCCCGGTGGAATTTCAGCTTTACCTCTCCTGCAGTTCAGATAATCTGTTCACATCCTCCCAAGTAAAAGCCACAGGGAAGAGGAGTATAATGTATTCTTAGTAATAAATATAGGATATACTCACCGAGTCCTTCACCACAGATATCTTTGAGTTCTCCAAATGTACCTTGTGGAGGTTTCAACTAGATAATTGTTCATGTTGTATTCTTGACTCCAAAGAGTACTTGAACCCTTTAACTTAAAAAAAAAATACATATAACATAAAATTTATCATTTTAACCAGTTTTAAGTGTACAGTTCAGTGGCATTAAGTACATTCACATTGTTGTGCTCAGCCCTTTAACTTTTTTTTTTTTTTTTTAAGCTGAGCCATCCTGCTACCTGTTGGCAGCTCAGCGGCTGCTCAGCTTGGGCTGGACTCGAACCGCTGTTGCTCAGANTCAGCGGCTGCTCAGCTTGGGCTGGACTCGAACCGCTGTTGCTCAGAGCTCAAACTCTTGAGCGAGCTCTTAACCAACTGAGCCACTCGGCCGGCCGTTCAGCCCTTTAACTTTTGAAGTAAAGTTAATTTACCCTTTCAGTAAAGCAAATTTGAAGAATTGTTCAGCTGAGATTTGAATAATTCAATTATAAAATATGTCCTTTACACAACCTAGGTCTATATGTTAATCTTATTTTTAAGGTTGAAACTCTAGAGAAGTTAGTGGAGCTGACACAGAAGCTATTTGAATGTGATAGAGACCAGCTGTACTACAATCTGCTGAAACTGTATAGTAAGTAATCTGATGGTTCCTCATGTTTTCATTTTGTGCCATTTATTTATTCTGTTGAAAGCAGTGGCAGGAAAGAAATATCAGGCTTTGAGGAAGATCCAGGAATTGCCAAATGTGGAATCTTCAGCAGAGGCTCGAGTAGAGGCCAGGTTGAACTTTATCACAAAAACATTACAGATGTTGTGCAATCTTTATTTTCTTCAATTTCTGATATTCTTACTGCAATAATGAAAAGGTTGAAAAATCTTTATCAGAGCCACACAATTTAACAGGACTTGAGGGTAGACTATTCATTTTCTTATTTTTCTTTTTCTTTTTTTAAAAAAAATTTTATTGGGGAACAGCTGTGGTCATTGGTTACACTTTGCTTTCGTGCTACAGTGGCATCGCTGACTCTTTTAAGGAGGGCGCAGCTCACAGTGGCCCATGTGGGGATCGAACCAGCAAACTTGGTGTTAGCAGCATCGTGCTGTAACCTACTGAGCTAACTGGTTACCCTCTTTTTCTTCTTTTTATATAGATCTTTCTCCAGAAAAAAATGCATATTGATACACAAACTCATTACCAAGCAATTTCTTTTTAAAGTGTGGTCATATTATAATACAGTTTTGACTCAATTCTGTATTACACACATTTTTCTACATTTATTACCTACAAATGTCTACATTGAACAGATATACTAGAATTTAATCTATTGCTAGACATGTGAATACATTTCAGTTTTTCATATTATAAAATAACACTGCGCTAGTCATCTTTGTACCTTAATCTTTTTTCACACCCTTAATTGTTTCCTTAGGGTGAATTTGTATTTGTATGAAGAGTTAAAAGTGATTAGCATTTCTGAAACTTTTGTCTTTTATTATTAAATCATGCTGTGATACGTTTATACCAGTTTACACATCTGGGAACTTTGCAGTCTCTTTTCGGGAGTTTGAAGAGAGGAGCAACAGTTAGACTATTCAGTGTACCCACTCACCCCACCACACCTCTTTTTGTTGTTGTTGTTGTTTGGCTTCATAGGTGTTTGATCTAAACTTATTGTTCTCTTTTTCTCATGGGAAATTTTCCTTCACCAAACATAGTCAGCAATGAATAGGTTGATTTATTTGTCTCTTTGAACTTGTATTTATTTATTATCATTGGAAGCTTTATCTTACATCTTGATGATGTAAGTAAAATAAGACTTGTAATATGTACATTTCACTCGTTGGTTGCTTTGAAGTACATACTTCACAGACATTCTTACAGTTATTATTTCACCCCATATTGACTTGAATGATCAAATTCTGGCACAATACTGAGGTTGTCGTTATTAGATGTATAGAATTTTAAAAGTTATGTTTTAGGCATTTAAGTCCTTAATTTGTGGATTACAACCTGTATTCAAGTGCTCATTCTTTCTCCCTCTTTCCCTGTATTTTCTACCTTTTGAATAACTATTTCATGCTTAAATTCTAGTTTTATGCAAACTTAAGAAAAAAAATACTGAATTTATGCAAGTGAATCTAAAAAGTGATCCCCGTGGAAGACTATATAAACTTTTATTCAGAAAAAAATGTCTCTGACGCCCCTTACTGTGCTAGCCGTGGAGGTGGGCACTGCAGGTATAAGGGGTATTGCTCTGCAGGAAGAGTTAGACCTGTAACCAAGGCTGACGGTTCAGGGTGAGGGAGCAGCTGTGAGGATGTACAGTGTGCAGTGGGGGCCCAGGGAAGGATCTAAGGAGCTCTGGAGTGTGGGCGTGGCTTCTTGGGAGGCTGGAAGCCAGAGGAATCTTACAGGGAAGTATACTTTTTAACCCAATTTGTATACTTCCCACCTTCTGGTATAAGTAATGTGGTTGTGATGACCCTAACTTTTCCCTTTCTGAAGAGGAGGCAAGTTATCTCCTTCTGCGGCCCCCCCACCTTGTACGCCCCCCCCCCTCCATTTTACCCTCTGACTTGGACCACTACTTAAATATGTGAAATAATACATGAAGCACTATAGACTCAATTTATTTGAAAAGGAACATACGGTGGTCCTATTATACTTGAAAAGTCCATCTTTTGGATTGTGGATTTCTGAGAAAATAATGTGTTTCACTTACTGGACTGTTTTTATGAGCTTATACTTTTTTTTTTAAGACTTAATTGGGGAATTGAGGGAGGGGAACAGACAAGTTGCTGTCCTTTTGTTCTTCAGTCTAGTTGTGGAGGAGGTTGCTTCACTGGCCCATGTTGGTATCATCATTGTGTGCTTTTTCTGGGTGAGGCAGATTGGTCGCTGGCCTCTGGACAGCCGCTCACGGCGGCTCTTAGCAGCTCACATTGGCTGCCGGCTGCTCACGCTGGCTGCCAGCCACACACGGTAGCTTATGGCAGCCCACTGCAGCCTACGCCGTTGCCGGCGACTCACGGCAGCCCAGCTACAGGTCGAGCTGTTGTTCACCATCTTAGCTGTAGAGGGCGCAGCGTCACTGGCCCTCATGTGGGATCCGAACCGGGGCCCTGCTGCTCAGAGCCGGCGTCCCAAGCCAGCTCTTAGCCAACGCACCACTCGGCCGGCCCATGAGCTTATTCTTTTGAATTGATGTGATTTTAGCCCTTAAAAGGAGTTGGCTGCATTATTTTGGAGTATTGTTGAAGGGCAATTTGCTTCGTTTATTTTAAAACAATATCTCTCTCACCTGCAATTTTGTTGTGAATTACAACATAGTACAGAAACACACACCAAAAAAAAACCCCATTGCGCATGCATTTATGACAGCCAACATTCATGTAACTATAATGTGGATTAAGAAATAAAAAGTATAACTATTTTCATGCCTTTAAATACTAGCTGTACTAAAACTGCTTTTATTTTCTACTTATTCTATATAGTATGATGTTCATAGGTGATCTGTTAAAAGAATGTGTCATAATTCAAACTATAGTTTTATTCTTTCTAATGCATTTTGATGTTTCATTGTGTTAGTCTTACAAAATTAGCCCCTAAGACCTACAACAAACATTACATGAATGAAACAACTCCATCACTTGCGTAAGGAATACACTATTATTTCTAAATGGCAATGTTTTCACCTTCTCACCAAAGATTTCCTTATATTCTAAACTCTTCCATTTCTTCTTTACATATACAAAGTAAAGATAGTTTACTCTTTGTATACATAAAGTATTCTATCCAAAAATAAAGATGCTTTACATTTGTAATTTTGCAATAAAAATTTTTTTAAATTTGTTTTTAAAAACCCAACATTTATGGGCCGTCCGAGTGGCGCATTTGTTAAGAGCTGGCTTGGGACACCAGAGGGCCCCGGTTCGGATCCCACATATGAAGGCCAGTGACACTGCCCTCTACAGCTAAGATGCTGAACAACAGCTCAACCTGGAGCTGGGCTGCCGTGAGTCGCCAGCGACGGCATAGGCTGCAGCCCTGTGGCAGTGGGTTGCCATGGGCTACCGTGTGTAGCCAGCAGCCAGCAGCTGCAGTGAGCGGCAGTCCAGAAGCCGGCGATTGATCTGCCTCGCCCGGGAAGAGCACAGTGATGGTGCCAATTTGGGCCAGTGAAGCAATGTCCTCCACAACTAGATGGAAGAACAAAAGGATAGCAACTTGTCTGTTCCTCTTCCCCCAATTCCCCAATAAAAATCTTTAAAAAACAAAAATAATAAATAAAAACCCAACATTTACATACAACCTTAGCATGTATTGTATGTACCTCAGAAGTCGTGTGCTGTTTTCTTCAAGTACTTGTGGATGTTGATTTTTTTTTTTTTGCACTGTGTGGTGTTTTCTCCCCTTTTTTATTACACCAATAAAACATGAATGTATTCTAAATTACTAAAGATTCTGGCAATACAATATTATACAGAACAAAATGTGAAAATGTCATTGTGACCGCGCCTCAGAGGGTGGGTCAATTTGTCGTCATTCCAATTCTCTCTCTTCATTTAGAGTCATATGATTTTTGCATATACACCTATTATTTTGGTTGTTATATGTTCTACATGTTTCGTACTCCACATTATGTTTTGTGGCTTCCTTTTTTGCTTAATATGAAATACACTGACAGGAAAAGGTAAAATGCGTGCTTTTCTCGCTTAATTACCAATTTTTAAGTGCTGGTGTCCTTTGGAACCTTCAGAGTTGATCACTGATTCATTTCTTATGAGTTCATGAGATTTTTTAATGTATTCGTGTTAAAATTCTCTTTTGTGCTCACCTTGTCCCATCTTTGGCCAATGGGAACCCTTTCACATTGGCTTTTACATCATTTGACACTTCCTGTTGGTCTTTGATAGTTAGTTCCTTATTTTCAGGAAAATAAACCAGGCCAGGCTTATGTGGCATAATTCCTGTCCTAGACCTGGAGTCCTTATTTTAGCGGGGGGGAATAATATTTCAAGACCCATAATCAGGTGATTAGCCAATGGGGAATTTGGAAATTGCCCTATCGTACCAGTTATACGTAAAAACTGACTAGCTTTATAATGAAAACCTTGAACTAGAAATCTTTATCTCTTTGTTTAATACCATGGAGACCATGCATAAAGTACCAACTGTTTGTTACACACTTAAAATGGAGCCCCACAGCTATGTCTGTTCTTGTGAAATTCACTGTGTCGAAAATCTTTGGCTTTAGAGCCCTCAGAGACCATTTAGAGTTCTCAAAGAGCATTTAGTAGTCATAGTCAGCCCTTTTGTTCTTCGAAGAGGGGACCATGAGTTCCAGGAAAGTGAAGGGCTTGTCCAGGCAGAGTGTCCATTCCCTGGTCACAGCCCAAGTTCGTGGCTGTTTGATTTTTCAAATAACAAGTATAATTGTTTTCTTAGGAGGAGGAATTTTCAGCCCCAGAGGGATATTATGAAAGAAAGGCGTGGCTTTTCCATGCCTTTGTGAGGTTTTACACACAGCTACAGATTTTGGCGCACCGATTAGTTGGATTGCCTCAAATTTTTGTTATGAACTTTGTAATCCAAGTACATTTTCAAGAAATTTTTTCCCTTAAAAAATACAGATGGTGCCCCCAAAAATTGTATACTTATTTTAAGAAAGGAAAAAACTTAAAATTGTAATACTCAATATATACCAATAACAAAAGATGAATACAGGTCATGTGTATACATGTTTTTGGCAGCCACGGTATATATATGTATGACTATATAAATAACTGGGTTGTTTTATGCTATATACACTGATTCTCAACTGTATTTTGAAACATTTTTTGTTGTAAGCTGGTAACTTATGTGAATAGGTGCATCTCTATAATATCTTCTCCTCCCCAAGTAGAAGCTTTTCATAAACTTTGTGCCTTTTTTCAAAGAAAAAAAGTTGGCCTTTCAAGAGTCTGAAGATCTTTCCCAGAGTCAGAAGAACCTTTCAGTCCCACCTTGTCTTCAGTGTTTGGAATAGTTCTGTTAGCTTAAGACTTAATCTCTTGAAAAAGCACCTTAGCAGTGCTCTTCTCAGCTCTTGGAAACCTTCCGGCGTCTTCTGCATCCCCAGTACCCTTTGGCAGGGACAGAAATGCTCCTTTCCACCTTTCCCCTTCTTTGGAATCAAAGATTGTGGAGCTAGGGTTTTTGTTTTTAATGTATTTTTTCAAATTAATTTTGTACATTCAAATACTTGAAAAATTACTTTTACAAATTGAATTTTACATTACTTGATATTTTAAGAAGGAAAAGCATGATTAGCTTATGAGAGTCTTGTTTTGAAAATTGATTGTAAATTTAAGGGTTTTATATTAATTAGACTGATTTTATTATCAAAGTCTGTATAAAATCACACTGAACTTCAGGTTAGTTTCCACTGTTGGGCTCCCTTTTAGTGTATTCTATGTGAAGGTTTAGGCTGCAGTCTATGGAGTAGAAATTTTCCTAGTCATCACTTACCTTTTTCTTTATTGCACGTTTCTGATGGAGTTTGAATGTGTTTTTTTTTTTTTCTTTGAGTTTTTTACTTCCAGGAGTCATTAGTTATCAAAAACTTAGCTTTTCAACTTGGAGGGGATGGTGAGATGTAGGAAAATTCCATTTGTTTTATTTTGTATTTGGGTGTTTTGAGAAGCAATTTGACTTGTGTTTTACAGAATATTTGTGTCCTGAAACAAACCCCCTTTCTAGAGCTGCCCATACACAATAGAGATATTCCGTCTTCACATTTATAAGTTAAAAAAAAAAAAGAACACATTTAAAGCAGTATTTCTTTGTGCTTAATAATTGGATTGAACATCATGTGTCATATGACATTTTTCCTATTCTGCTCTAGTTTTACACAAGCAGAAGTTTATTAAATTAAATGACTTAATCTTTTTTTCAAAACCCTTAAGAATCTTTAAAAATAAAGTCTTGATTCTTAAGTTTTTGCTGTTTGTGAAGACTAGGTTACCCCATAGAAGGAACTCAGTTTTTCAGTGTGAAGGAACCTGCCTATTTCCTTCCAATAAACTTCCTGTCATTCTTTAATACTCATTTAGTCTGAGGGCATTATCTGTTAAGAAATTATCACACACTGTCATAGAAATTCTTCAGGTCAACCAGAGCGAATTCTCCCTATTCAACTAAGTGAAAAAAGTTTGTTGATTAGTCGCTTTTGAAGAAAATCATACATTTGCATTATTTCATTCATTTTAGACCCTCAGCTGTGTACTATACCTTATACATGTATCCATCATCTTTCCAAAGACTAAGCTACCTGTTTCTGATTTTGATTTAAGCAGTAGGCAGTATCTCAAGTTACTTTAAAACAACAAACTTTATTGACATGATTTTCAAAGTGTTTAACACAGTGCAGGGTTTTTTGTTTTGCTTTGCTTTTTAATAGGTAAGGAATTTTTATGGTTTAAAATTAGGGTATTCAGAAAGAAGTCATTTTACCCTTTGTTCACAATTACCCTGTTCCTTTCCTTGGAGTCAATATTTGGAATAACTCTTCCTTCAACATCAATTAAGAAAAAGTTCTAAATATTTTCATAAATTCTATTTAATATGTTCATGAATTTCTGTTTAATCAACTTTTACAGAACTAAATGGCGACTGGCAAAGAGCTGATGCTGTCTGGAATAAAATGCAAGAAGAAAATATAATTCCTCGTGGGAAGACATTAAGATTATTAGCAGAAATCCTAAGAAACAATAATCAGGAGGTTCCGTTTGATGTCCCTGAGGTAATTTGTTTTTATCTGTAAGCATAACAGATTTTATTGCTAGTATAACTTTATGTCATAGATTAGTCCAGCTCTATACTGAAAAGATCACTGTATTTACCAGTTTTTGTTTAAATGAATAATTTTGTTTTTAAGTTGTGGTATGAGGATGAAAAACATTCCCTGAATTCTTCAGCATCCTCACCTGTAGAAACTAACATCCAGAAAGAGCTATTGAATGCCTGCCAATCGAAGAAAAGTAAAGGTAAACATGTACACTGGGGTCTTCTTTCTAACAGCACTATGGGATCTAAGCCTGCCAAATTAGAAGTGCTCTAAGATAGAGATGGAACTTAAAATTGTATATATTATTTCAGTTTTTAAATTAGCAAAGACATTTGGGGGCAATTGGGAAAATGTAAGTATTGACTGAATGGTAGGTAGTATTAAGAAATTGCTCTCATTTTTATTAGATATTGTTATAATGGTACTATGATTGAGAGGAAAATATCCTTAAATTTTGGAATCTATAATGAAGTATTGAGAGATGGAAAAAAAGTCTAGATTTCTGTAATTTATTTAAAAATACTTAAGCCATAAAGAACAAAAATAAAGCAAATCTGGGGCCGGCCGAGTGGCGCGATGGTTAAGAACTTGCTTGGGATGCCAGAGGGCCCCGGTTCGGATCCCACATATGAGGGCCAGTGACACTGCCCTCCACAGCTAAGATGCTGAACAACAGCTCAACCTGGAGCTGGGCTGCCATGAGTCGCCGGCGACGGCGTGGGCTGCAGTCCCTGTGGCAGTGGATTGCCATGGGCTACCGTGTGTGGCCAGCAGCCAGCGTGAGCGGCCAGCAGCCGCAGTGAGCGGCCGTCCAGAAGCCGGCGACTGATCTGCCTCGCCAGAGAAGAGCGCAATGATGGTGCCAACTTGGGCCAGTGAAGCAACATCCTCCACAACTAGATTGAAGAACAAAACGACAGCAACTTGTCTGTTCCCCTTTCCCCAAGTCCCCAGCACTGTTCCCATCCCCCAATTCCCCAATAAAAATCTTTAAAAATAAATAAATAAATAAATAAATAAATAAAGCAAATCTGGCAAAATGTTAATAATAATTGTTAGATGTAGGTGATGGGCATATGGAGGTGTTCATTGTACTATTTATATTTTTCTGTATATTTGAAATTTTTCATAACAAAAACTAAATTAGGTTTTATAAAAATATTATCCTTTGAAAATAGCATGAATTTTTTGGGCAAATATATTCACTATATTTTGCTTTTATTTGAAAGCAAAAAATGATTAGAGCATTAACCACCATACTTGTGTGTGTTGAAGTGATCAAGCAATATAGCAGTCCCCCCTTTATCCATGGGGGGATACGTTCCGAGACCCCCAATGGATGCCTGAAACCGCAGATAATACAGAGCCCCTATATATACTATGTTTTTTTCTATACATGCACACCTACGATAAAGTTTAATTTATAAATTAGGCACAAGAAGAGATTAACAATAATAATAAAGTAGAACAATTATAACAATATACTGTAATAAAAGTTATATGAATGTGATATTGTAAGTAAATTAAGGGTTACTTGAACATAAGCACTGCAGTACTACAACACACAATCGCACTGCTAACCAAAATGGCTACTAAGTGACTAATGGGTGGGTAGTGTGTACAGCGTGCATAAGCTGGGCTAAAGGATGATTCACATCCTGAGGGGGACTAAGTGAGATTTCATCATAGTACTCAAAAGAGCACACAACTTAAAACTTACAAATTGTTTATTTCTGGAATATTCCATTTAATATTTTTGGACCACAGTTGACTGCAGGTAAATGAAACCGTGGGAAGCGAAACCTTGGATCGGGGGACTACTGTATGTCAAGGTTGGAGGCAGGACATGAACCCTGTTTCTTGCTTTTCTTCCCTTTGTCTAGTGGTAAATTTCCCTGAAGGCATGCCTACCTCCTTTAAGTTTTTTGACCATCTCTAACCCTCTGGTAGAAGCCTGCCAATTACATTCTAGACACTTTCGCTTAGATTTTTTTGTACCCTCCCAAAATCATATAACTATTGTTTCCTTCATTTTTGTTAATTTTTCCTCATGGAATGGTACCATTATCTCTAAGTCCTTCAGTTTTTGTTTTCAACTATGCTTTATGATAATTTAACCATTATGCAGCAGATTATTCTTTTTATTTTAGTATTGAGAGTTTTTAGCTCTATTGAGTAGAAATGAATCAATTTAGGAATTTATGGAACCTGTTGATTTCTAGACTTAACTAGAAATTTTGTGACACTGACAATGTGTATGAAATAAGAATAAGCTAAGGTGTTATGCTTTCTCAGTCATACAGAGTAACTTTTTATTGAGTCATTTTCCCTTGCTGCATATTCAATCTATACATCCTTGTGTCTTTCACCAAGTATCTGTTAAATCTAAATTTAAAATTATCATCAATACTATTTAAATATTCGAGCGGAGTTTTTATTTGACTGAAATGAATATAAGGTTAGTATGTAGTTTCTGTTTTAAAATATTTTAATATTCCTTCATGTATTGCCTGTTTTTAAATTGCTGTTTAAGTAAAAACATTTAACTCATTAACTAAATAATTATGATGTAGTATTAAATGTAGAGATACAAGATTTTTTAATACACAATTTATCTAATTGGTTTCATCCTGTTAATTTTTTCAGAGCTTTTAGTTACTTTTGTATATATCTCAGGATTTGAATCTGTAGCAAAATATGAATACCTTGAACAGTGAATGCTAGATTGAATACTTTGAGAAGTGAATACTTACATTAGCACTTCATTGAATTTCTAATAGTTCAGTATACTTAAAAAGTGTGATACCAGAAACAAAACCTGTGGTGAATGAGTTTGGTGCTTTTAAAAAAACCTACTAGAAAATAATAAGCACAGCCATACCAATTTCCTGAAAAGACTACAATTTTTAGAAAACAGCTAGTAAGATTTTCTAGACTTATTTTGTTGATATTAAATATTCAGATTGTACTTATTTATTTTCATTCAGCAAACTAGTGAACTATTATATATGTTTTTTGGGAAGTAAACAATTTCATTACATCTTCTTAGGTCCTTTAAAAGGAAAATATATGCAGTATGCACTGAATAATAGATTCTATCTATTGTTCTTAGTTAAGATACAGGTATTAATATCATATATCTTTTTTCTCATTTTCTGTGAATTTAGCTTGAAAGGAATACTAAGTTTTTGATAGGTCACTGCGGTTTAATTGAAGGGCCAATACAGACTCCCCTAACTTAGAAATACAAGCATAGTTTCTGCTTGCTCAGGAACCTCTCAAATAGTTTATAATATTCTCCTGAGCATTAATATGTTCATTCCTCATTGTGTGTTCTGCATTTCCTTACTGAGCTTTATATCTGTAGGAGGTCATACGTGATAGTTCAGTTATGCCTCATCTCTAGTGTGCTTTGTTTATATACAACAGATAGTGGATTGTAGTTTCAGTTGGGTGTTCATAGCCAGGCAATTTTATTTCAGAAAAGTAAGTGACTGAAAAGTGTAGTTACTTCTCTTTTGGTAACATCTTTTCATTCACTGACAGTTATTGTGAACAAGTGAAATAAAACTGTTAATCAGTCAAACAAATGTTGCTTAGTTTACTTGTTAGATATCTGTATATTTGAAAATTGTATGTTTTTGTATAAGTCCTGTCGTAGCCAAATAATTTGATCTCCTAATTTTAGAATTATAGGCTATATTCACTTTAATGCTATTGTGTGGAAATGTTAACCATTGTAACCACCCACTTATAGATTAAAGATTGCTTTAAAATGAATCTTGTGCTCCCCTCAATCTAAATTATACCTCTGGTTTATTTGGACTTTAACACACATTTTGCAATTTATTTTGAAGCTAGTATCATCTTTTGAAAAAATTCAGAAGAGCTATTTCTTGTTTTGTTGGCATGAAAATAATTTGACTTCAGAAAGCTAATATGAAAAATAATTTTAAAAGGAAGCCCTTTCAGGTATCATCCTTTTGGATTAAGTAGTAGTTCCCAAAAAATGTCACTTTGTATTTTAAAGATTAGAAGAATGACAACATCTGCTTGCTCAGTGTGTATGTCTTTGTACAGTGGTATAGTGGGTGGGTGAATTTTGAAAGAAACGAAAATATGTGGGTTTAGGGCTTTGTTTTAGGATTTTTCCCTCCTCTTTGCCATTACAGAATAATGTAATCTCATTTTTTGTTGTTTTTTTTTCCTTCATAGATGCATACACTATTTTCTTGAAAGCACAAAAGCAAAACGTTGTGTTTAACAGTGAAAGTTACATCAGTCTTATAAAGTTACTGTTGGTGAAGGATAGCTTTCCACAAGCAATGCAAGTAAAAGATTTGTAAGTATTAGTCCATTTATTAAACATCTCTTAAAAAAATATCACCTATCATTAGGATTTTTCTAATGATAAATTGTTGTAGTAGCAGTTGCTTAATTATCCTCAACTACCCACAAAAACCATATGACATAGTTTTCTAATTTTATGGGGTTTTTTAACCTATAAAAATATATAACCTTTACTGGCCCTGCACAGCACAGTAACTTTTATTTACTTTATATAACCTTGCAACTCGTTTATGATGCCCATATGAGGTCGGACAGTTAAGTTCGTGAACTCACCCTAGAAAAAGTGCTATATATCTCATTACTGAATATCACTACGATCACCTTCGAAGTATCCTCTTGGGAAGCTATGTACCGACGCCAGTGCCTAATCCACTCTTCAAAGCAATTTTGCAACTCCTTTTCTGGAATGGCCATCAGAGCTGTCATTGTATTACCCTTGATGTCCTGAATGTCATCAAAATGTCTTCCTTTCAATATTTCCTTTATCTTTGGGTAAAGAAAGAAGTTATTGGGGGCCAGATCAGGTGAATAGGGAGGGTGTTCCCATACGGTTATTTGTTTACTGGCTAAAAACTCCCTCACAGACAGTGCCGTGTGA